ATAAGTTTATAAAACAATCAATACGACAATTATGTAAACCTAAGACATCCCCTATCTCACTTTGAGATGAAATCTCAAATCCCTACTAAAAGAAAATCGCTCCGAATCCGATGATACTTCTAGGTTATGTCGAGGACTACGAGGGAAACAACTTTAACCCTTGAGGCACCATGGAAATCCAAACCCAAACTTAAAAATGGTTGGAATCGGCTTCTAATAACAGGGAAATGACCGCCTCGTCAAGACCTACGATAAACACTAAGGTACTACGATATTTTACAAAGGGGAAGAAGGTTAATTTGAGAGACAAAGAGTGATAGCCCAAGGGGGCTGCCATGGCTGATCTGTAGAAGTGTGAGAAAAGAAGGAAGATGACTTTTTAATTTTAAACCCCCTGTTTATAGTAAAACCTTAAAAGTGCCGCGAAAGGCCCCCGTCAGGTTCGGAAAAGTGGAATTTGTGCAGACGCGCTCAAACAGTAAAACACCGTGAACGAAAAAGAACCAAAATGAAAAGAAAAAAAACAACAGAAGAAATAGCGTCGAAAATTGAATCCCGTGCAAAAAGATATGCCCCGAATAAGTTCAGCGCTAACTGGGGCCGAAAACCTTAAAACTGGGGAAAACGACAGGAAGAAAATTTTAAGAGTATACGACTCGACGAAATGTGAAAATGAATCCCGTATGAAGATCCAAGCTCAAAATGAGACATTTTGTAATAACTTTCATTAATTGGACAATGACCCCTCCAAGAAATGATAGCTGCAAAATTAGCCCAGAATGAAAAGATATTTTCTTAAAAACACCTAATTAAAATATCTCCAAAATATATTTATGAAAAACACCCCAAGAAACATCAATGTTTTTTAAGAATCCTTTCATCCACGCCCCTGTGGGAGAAAGAAACAACTGGCGAGTTTTTCTCTAAGAATAAAGTTACGTGTTTCGAGGAAATTAACTAAAATGAAAACTTATGAAGTCAAAATTCAACTCCGAACACGAAAAATGAGGTTGTGCCAACAAAGTGACAAATGGGAAAAGACAAAAAGTGAATAGTGTCAAAAAAATGAAAATGTGGAAATGACTTGGTCTTTAAAGAAAGTTGTCAATCCAAAGGAAAGAGTTTCGGAAATCATTTCCGAGCACTCAAGATGACACTAAGTGACGGGTAACCAAATTCAGGAAAGAAAATTCAACGGAAAAAAAATTTATTCGTAAAATTTCAGAAAAAAAAGGAAGGAAAATGACCGGGTCATTACAGTATCTCTGTCTCTATTTATAACTCATGTATATACAAAAACCATTTTCTTCTAAATATACTAATCCACAAATTCTAACCTAAATCTAACTAAAATAATAATGATAATAAATCCCCAAATGTATAATTTTACTAAAACAAACATATGATATATATACATATATATATATATATATATATATATATATATATATATACACCTTCCCATGGACCATAATTCTATATAATTTATATAGGCCTTCTCCAATTAGTCCAAACCCATTCATTTTGGTTAATTAACTCTAAGTCCAAACCATGATTAATTAAAATAAAATAAACCAATTAATTAAGCAAGCAAATTGCACACAAACAAATAATGACAAGTAATGCACATTAAATAATTTAAAATAACTTAATTAACTAAATTAATTACATAACCACTTAATCATTTGATAAAAATAATTAGCCAAATAAAATAATTAAAATAATAATTTAAATGGTCTAAAAATTAAGGGTATTATAGTTTGACAGAAATAACAACACAACTTTTCAAAATTTGCCATTTTCACATATATGAAATAACGGCAAAAAAATGAAAACCACAACTTTAGCAAACACTATTTTTTTACCAGACATGTTTCATGATTTTTTATTTTAAAAAATTTACAACAAGTATAACATTAATAAATATACTTTTAAATAGTACTACCTTTTTCCCATATTAGTAGTCCACTATCTCATTTTTAAATGTCCCAAATTAGTTGTGCTTTATATTTTCAAACTTGATAGCTATACCTATCTAAATTAAAAAAGATAAGTTAATAATTTTAAAAAAGAATAATATATTAATTGTATGTCCCTTTCAGATCTTCAATTTTTAACATGGACCGAAGAAATATTGAACATCTTCCAAAGTAAAGATATTGCTTCTATTTTACGTCAAAACAAATTTCAAAAAACAATAAACAAATAGGTCTTTAGTAATTGTGAGACGGTGGATTATTTGACGGCTGTAATTTTTTAAAAAAACCAAGTCCCTCTGTCCTTGATATTCGTACTCATTATGTATTATAGTATCACATGCGTATTATTTTATACATATAAACTATAAAGAAATCTTATTATTAGAGCCATCTTGTCCGAATCATGGACTATATAAATTGATCGGGACGGTCCTAAGCACAAATGTACAACTATCTACATGTATATCAAATTTTATTAATGATGAATATATGAGAAAATGATTACGCATGTTATAAACCGTAATTCAATAAAGATATTTGTGTTAGGTTTCACATCCCTCATGTTTGGTACAAGAAATGAGTTGGGAGAAGAAACAAAATATGAAAGAAGAGGATATTATTAGCCTTTTTTATTTTTATTTTTTATTTTATAAATAATTATTTACCTGTTTGATTGATTAATAAAAAGAAAGAATAAAATAATAATAATCATGTATGGAAAAGAAAGATAATGAAAATATTCTAATAAATTGAGAGTTCGTTTGAAGTTGCTGTTGGAATAAAAAAACGCTTTTATCAATTGAGTTGTCAAAAAATTGCGTCACTAAAAAATATGTTAGGTGCTTGGTGACACATTATAATAAGCACTTTTCAAAATTAAATTTTTTTAAAATTTATTTGCTAACAATTTTTTTTTAAAACTCATTTATTGCTAATTTTATAATAATATCCTTTAATATGATATTACCATATTTGATAATAACAATTTTATTAAAGAAGGGTGTAATTGTCTTTATAAAAAATAAAATTATCTAATGAAAAATGGTTACCTAAAATATTCAACCTTTACTTGTAATTTCAAAAGCTCCAAATTCACCTTTTATTCAAACGCTTTACTAAACTAATGGTAACTTAAAAGCATTTCTAATAGTTACCAAACACTTCTAAATGTAAATTTTCAAAATAAAAGCGCAGAGAAGTAATTCCAAACGAGTTTTTATTATCATACCATTTTTCATATATTTTGTTTTTTGTTTTATAAAAATAAAGACAAAATTAATATTAACAAAGTTTCTTTCCCTTCATCATGTATAATTTGGAATTCATGGTTTCCTTTATTTTCCTTCAAAAATTCAATCCAAACTATTTCATGTCCTTGCATTTCACTTGAACAATCTATTTTGAAACTCGTATAAATGAAGAACTTGTACTATTGTTAAAATATATTAACGACTGAAGAGGAAAATAAAAATAAAAATACAGCAACATAGAATTATTTTCACAGCACATCATGCCTCTATATATAGCTGAATTGGAAAAGTGTAAATAAAGAATATCAAGAATTTGCTTTAAAAGCATTCTTGCACCATGATTACAAAAGAACGATTTTTTAAAAAGTCAAAGACAAATATGATAACAATACTATCGAGTCAGTGACCCAACAATATTGCGTAATAAGCTCAAATGGTGTATAAGTATCAACTAAGAAAAGAAAATAATAACAATAAATCACTAAAGTATAAGTAATTTTAACACAATGTAGCATCCATCTTAGTGCATAAATGAAGTTCAGCTATGAGAATTTTGATTTGTTGAATTTTGTTATCACATCTTTTACTGTATTATACTTAATTTTTATGCATTCTTTTATATCTATGTCTAAAGCTATGCATCAAGCCCTCAAAAGTCTTGGTACGGGTTTTTTTATGTTCCGAGATGGAAAAATGAATAAAAGAGAAAGGGGGATGAGGTATTTCCAATTTTCATTAAAAAAAATTACGTATTTGTCACTTTTGTTTGATTGGAAGAAATCATAGTAGAAATTATGGTAAATGTGACTTATATTTTTCTTTTGCTTTCTTTAAAATTTAACAAAATTGACATTACATGGTCATTTTTTTGGGTCCAATTTTAAACCTATAAAAAGACATGGCATCTTCAGCCGTTGTTAAAATATTTTTTTTGTATAAAATATATACTGTCACGTATGATGTGTAAATTTTTTTTATCTCCAGCAGTCTGTCAATATACACTGTGTAAAATTATTGTATATTTTACATAACATTTTTAGACAACCACATCACCATATTTCCTTTCTCCTCTTTTCTTTTTTCATTCTATTAAGAATCAATCATATATTAAGTAAGTTTGTAAAAGTTACGTGGGCTTCATGACATATGTTTAGTTGTTATTGGGGGATATATTTTTACACAAAAAAGTATAAAACAATCGCTGAAGCTAAAAATAAATAATTCAAAATTTTATGTAAATCTATCACGATACATCAAATTTACATAAAAAAAAAAAAAATACACAAATGCTGAAAATGCTCTAACACTGTCGCACTCAGGTATGGTTGTAGTCTTGTTGTTGTTACCATAAATATATACATAAATAAAGATATCTAATGTGATAAAATGTGACAGTTGTTGTTACCATAAATATATACATAAATAAAGATATCTAATGTGATAAAATGTGACATTTTTTTTTTTTTCTGTCAACATGTGACATTTGAGAATTGTAATACTTTTAATGGCTTTATGAAAATTAATTAGGTACTAAAATTCATGTTCAATCATAAGATTTTGATTGAAGTTTTAAACTACTAAACCCTTATTGCGTGTGTTGCTGCGTTTATTGTAGGTCAAATCGGTAAACTCGGCGGCTGTTGGTTTACACCTCAGAATTTCGTGTACCACACATAAAATCAGTTCCAGCTATCGTAAACCACAAGACGCCGCCGTTTCCAAAATTCAGGAAAATTTTGAAAAAATAAAAATTATACCTTTATTTGTGTGTGTATTATGAATTGATTATTGCCGTTGTTCCAGTCAAGAAAGTCATCTTCTCTCTCCTTCACAGAAGACATATTCAAAGAAGAACGAATTACACAACAAATCGGGAATGGAGGGGATTACAGGTGCCCGTTGATAGATACGTATATACATAATTATATATATATAAATATATATGTATATGTATATGTATACACATCGGTGGTGTTAAATTGAGAACAAGAACTTGGTTGATTGAATTAAATCTGTGAAAGGAATCGCTTTGTGGGTGATTATCTACCTACCCAGATTAGTTTTCTTTTGTGTCTTCCCTCGAAGATCTGATTGTGAATTGAATATATTTGGAGGTACAAAATAAGGCTTGCATGACAGATGTTCTGTTTCCAGTTATAATCAATTCTTTATTGATTTGTTTATATACGCGATGACGTAACAAATTTATTTATAATTAGTTTATGATTGATCCTTATTAGGAAAATTTGGGTTTGGAAAGCAAACCATGGGGTTCCTTGAATGGGAATTCATTAATTCTGCGCTGGGAGTGATTTGACGACAGATGGGGTTGTGTTGGATTTTCTCGAGAAAACGCGTTTCTTGCATTTCTTCTGCCGTTGAAAAAGGTTTGCTTCAGTTGTAAGGGTTTCTCTGCGAATTGAATTTTGATTTTTGGAGGACTGGTTTGCTATTTAGTTTTTCAATTATTGGAGAATTAGGGTTTCAGTGTATGAATTTGAATTCGAAGTTCTTGTATTGGTGGCCGTTTCAAGTATTTGTGATTTCAACAGTTTTAGGATTTGGGATTTTTGGCTTGGGAATTTGGAAGGAAAATCATTGGATTCAGATGGAGAATCAGTAACTGCAACTACTCCGGTGGTCATCGGCAATGGGTGTTGATCTATAAGATTTCGGCTTGTGTGTATTGTAGCGGATTACAAATTATAATACTGTTGCTTTTAAAATTGGAACTCAAGATGGGCTTTTTCTTCTCTTTTGGTTAAAATCATTAGGGTTTTCAACCTGTTCCAAGATGAATAGGTGACTTTTCAAGTTAATTCAGCTTGGCAAATACTATCTCTTTTACTTTGATCAGATATTCCTGCTTACTGTTCTATTGCTGTTTTTTTTTTTTGGATTGGTTATGATAGTGGCCAGATGAGTGTTTCAAAATGAGTGGGAGAAGAGGATTGTTTGTCAATGGATGCTCCATACAAACCATTCTCTGATCTAATAGGCTTACTTAAATCGTGGATCCCTTGGAGGTCCGAGCCGGCTCATGTGTCGAGGGATTTTTGGATGCCCGATCAGAGCTGCAGGGTATGCTACGAGTGTGACTCCCAGTTCACATTGTTCAACCGCAGACACCACTGTAGACTTTGCGGTAGAGTTTTTTGTGCTAAGTGTACTTCAAATTGGGTTCCTGCTCCACCTACTGAGCCGAGTACTCCACAGGAAGAGTGGGAGAAGATTAGGGTCTGTAATTACTGTTTTAAGCAATGGGAGCAAAGCTTAATTCCAGGTGATAATGACATCCAGGTTACTAGCCTGGATCTTAGTACTTCACCATCAGAGACAAGTTTTGTCAGCACCAAATCAAGTGGTACAGTTGAAAGTAGCAGCATTTCTTTTGCTTCGATGCCACAGTCAGTTGGGTCTTATCAGCAAAATTCTTTCCCTTCTTCTGGTGTCAGCCCCCACCAGTCAGCAGTAATGGAAACGGGTGGAGACAGGCAAGGTGTAGTGGCATCAGGATGGAGCAATGATCATGTTTCAGACATGGGAGATATATCTCAAAACCAATTTGGATTTTGCATGAACAGGTTTTGTTTTGTCTCTGTTATCCTGTCAACTTGTAATTGACTAGAATTGGTATACTTCCTAATCTTATTGTGCCACACTTTACCACTTATATAGCATATATAGCTGACACGAGCCCAAGTAGATGTCATTATATGTTCAAACGAGCCCAAGTAGATGTCATTATATGTTCAAGCTATCTCAGTCCTTCAATCCTTTTATTGAGATGGCTGATCCCCTGGTGTACTTTGGCACCTAATGCTTGATGCATGCTTAAGATATGGGGACCCCACACGAGCCTTTTCCTTGCTGATGCCTGGTTTGACTCATGTGTTGACTTGAGATTTATGCTTCTTGGCAGCAGGCTTGGTCAGCAATGTGCTTTGGTTCAAGGCATTGACAAGCCTGCTCAGAGTCTTAGATTACCTGAGAGGGAAGTCTCCACTGTTGTCTGGGGAGACAACAATGCATAGACTGCTTACACCATTCACAGCAAAGCATAGACTGTTTGCTGTGGACTCTGATGTACCGCAAAAGTGATTAATTCACGAATCTGGACTTCTTTTTTCTTTTTTTTGGAGGTTGTTGTTGTAACAATGTATATATTGTATGTGGGAGGGTTTCATCTGCAGCTCATGCATTACTCTCGTGTGTAAAGTTTCGATAAGTCTTTCCTGTCTACCGTTGTTGCCCATGTAGTAGTTGGACGCCTGTTTATTTTGATGCTGTTACTTTTCCCCTTATGAATTGATAGCTACTTAGTGATTGAATGACTCTTTCCATAACTTCCTTCAAGATTATGTTGCAACATAACCATCAATCTCGTGTCTGCAGTACATTTTACTATAGATATGGTATTTATGTTGGTAGCCAAGAGTGTTGTGTTTTTGAGTTGCTGAAAACTTGTATATCAATGGATCACTGTAGTATTTTATCTTGTACTAATCTAGTGGGATAAGCACATCTACTTTTTTGTGATTAGCATATTTTAATTATAATCAATTGATTGTTGCGTGCATATTCTCTGGCAGCAGGAGTGATGATGAAGAAGAAGAATTTGGAGTTTATCAGTTAGATTCCAAAGCTAGGCATTTTCCTCAGGTTAATGGCTACTATGGTCAAGCTGAGACTGATGGGATTGACAGTGACTATGGATCACGTAAAGTGCATCCTGGTGGAGAAACTATTGACCCAAAAAGTATGAGCAGCGCTTCGTTACATAATAGTTTCGATTCACAAGGTTTAGAAGGATCCCAACAGGTTGTAAAAAAAGAAGACGAGCCTGATATTGGTGATGAATGTGAAGCACCTTCATATGCTGCAGAGGACGTTGATGCTGAACCTGTGGATTTTGAGAACAATGGACTCCTCTGGCTACCACCTGAACCTGAAGATGAAGAAGATGACAGGGAAGCTCTTCTATATGATGATGACGATGATGCGGATGCTACTGGGGAGTGGGGATATCTACGTGCTTCAAGCAGTTTTGGAAGTGGGGAGTATCGCAATAGGGACAGATCAAATGAGGAGCACAAGAAGGCCATGAAGACTGTTGTAGATGGGCATTTTAGGGCCTTGGTAGCTCAGCTTTTGCAGGTCGAGAACCTTCCTGTGGGTGAGGAAGATGACAAAGACAGTTGGTTAGAGATAATTACATCACTGTCCTGGGAGGCTGCCACATTGTTAAAGCCTGATATGAGCAAAAGTGGTGGAATGGACCCAGGAGGATATGTGAAGGTAAAATGCGTTGCTTCTGGGCGTCGATGTGAGAGGTAAAACAGTTGGTCTTTTAAAACAGTTATTTGCATCTTGTTTGGGTTGCCTCTTTTAAGTCCTTTTTTACCTCTCTCTTATGAAGATTTTGATTTTTTTCTTTTCTAGTATGGTGGTCAAAGGAGTTGTTTGTAAGAAAAATGTGGCTCACCGGCGGATGACATCAAGAATAGAGAAACCTCGCCTGTTAATCCTTGGAGGGGCTCTTGAGTACCAGCGTGTTTCTAACCTCCTGTCAAGTTTTGATACGCTGCTCCAGCAGGTTGTGACTGTTAACAATTTCCTTTTCAAATCTGTAACTTGGTCATACCTGGAGATTATTAGGGGCTCAGTCCTATCTGTCATGAACCACTTGCATTGCCATTTACCAGATTCTAGTTTATTAGCAATTATGTTTTATTTCCTTCTCTCTTTTTTTTCCTCATGGATTTTACATCCTTCTCTAGGAAATGGATCATCTAAAGATGGCTGTTGCAAAGATAGATGCGCATCATCCTGATGTTCTTTTGGTGGAGAAATCAGTTTCTCGATTTGCGCAAGAGTATCTTCTTGCAAAGGACATATCACTTGTTCTCAATATTAAGAAGCCGCTTTTGGAGCGCATAGCCCGCTGCACAGGTAGTCAAATAGTCCCTTCAATAGATCATGTCTCATCACAGAATCTGGGATACTGTGACTTGTTCCATGTGGAGAGGTTTCTAGAAGAGCATGGCACAGCCGGGCAAGGTGGAAAAAAGTTGGTGAAGACATTAATGTATTTTGAAGGGTGCCCAAAACCATTGGGATGCACTGTAAGTCTTATAAAACCAAGAATGATAATGAGGAAAAAAAATGCTGATTGGGATAATTAAATGTTCTGCTTACTTTAATATGGTTTATGAATGGTCCATACTTGTGCACAACCACACGGATGTGGAGGTAGTAGTTGTTGCTGTTACTTCATTTTTTCTAAAGATATTCAGGGTAAATGAGATTGTTAAAAGTTTTTATTGGGTGATTGTTGACTTAGGGTATCATCTTTGTAGGACTCACACAATGGTGTTCCCAGCTTTCTGTTTGTGCGAAGTGTCTAATTATGCTTGTTAGCAGACCATCGCATTAATCTTTTGATTGTATAAAACTGATTTTTTATTTTATTTTTTATTTTATATATATATATATTTGCTTTGACATTATTTGTTTCAGATTTTACTCAGAGGTGCCAGTGGGGACGAGTTGAAGAAAGTGAAGCATGTGATCCAGTATGGGGTTTTTGCAGCTTATCACTTGGCTTTGGAAACATCCTTTCTAGCTGATGAAGGAGCCTCTCTTCCGGAACTCCCTTTGAACTCTCCGATAACTGTGGCACTTCCTGATAAACCATCGAGTATTGACAGGTCCATCTCAACGATACCTGGTTTTACCGTCCCTACCAATGAAAAAACTCAGGTGTCTCTATCTTGTGGTGAATCACAAAGTTTCAAGAATTCCCCCACTTCGGTTCCGATCTCCTTAATTGCTGATGCTTCTGTTCATAAAACAGAACCAACACTTTCTCCTAGTTTACCAACTTTACCTGATGCTCCAGGCTCTCAATACACAAAGCCCAATTCAAGATTCATGAATACTGCTTTTTCATCCATTGCTTCTTCAGGTGAAGGTGTTTTGGATTCTTATCATAACACATTTGGGAATAGAAGAATAATGGGTTCGAAAGAGTCTTCAGAGGCAAAAACTTCTGAAGCCAACATTAGCCAATATTTCATGGGTGATCATGCCATTGCCAATGGTTTGGGACCTTCAGAGGCAGCCAGACTTGGTATTGTGGCCAACATGGTGCAAAATAATGGCAGTGAAATGGTGGCGAGTGAACCTGGTAGTTCAGAGATAACATCCTTGCAACAAGATGGTAAAAATCTTCATGAGGTATTAGGTTCTTCAAAAGAAGAGTTTCCTCCATCGCCTTCTGACCATCAGAGCATTTTGGTTTCCTTATCATCCCGCTGTGTGTGGAAGGGAACTGTCTGTGAAAGATCCCATCTCTTTCGAATCAAATATTATGGCAACTTCGACAAACCTTTGGGGCGTTTCTTGCGGGACCATTTGTTTGATCAGGTAAGCAACTCTTTAATTTTACTTTCACATTTATTTATTTCTCCTTAATAGAAATTTTATAGATGCATTCTGAAAGCAACAAAGTTTTACTTGTTTGTCAGAGTTACAAATGCCGTTCATGCGAGATGCCATCAGAAGCACATGTTCATTGTTATACACATCGGCAAGGGACACTAACAATTTCCGTGAAGAAGTTGTCAGAAATTCTTTTACCGGGTGAGAAGGAAGGAAAGATCTGGATGTGGCATAGGTGCTTGAGGTGTCCACGGTCTAATGGTTTCCCCCCAGCAACTCGAAGAGTAGTGATGTCTGATGCTGCTTGGGGTTTGTCCTTTGGAAAGTTTTTGGAGCTCAGTTTTTCAAATCATGCAGCGGCTAGCAGGGTGGCTAGCTGTGGCCATTCTCTGCACAGAGATTGTCTTCGATTCTATGGGTATTCTCTCACTCAATTTCTAGTATACTACATATATTGGGTTGAGCATTATGAACAGTTATCACCGATTGCTTTTGAATTTGCAAAGGAACCCATGAACAGCCTCAATCAATTACAAAATGCTATGTAAGAGATATTGTTGTATAAGCGAAACCAACCCTTGCGGTTTAAAGAACCGTTGGTTGATACATTCACCTAATTTTATCACCTCCTTTTTAACACCCCATCAGTGGTTCTATGTTCTAGTCAATATCATAAGTGGCAATAGAAAAGGTTTTGTGTGTCATTCCAATTTTATATATGCCCATCATTCTTACTTATTTGGTACTTTACATACTTCTGCATGTCATTTAAACACCCCCCCCCGGCGGTATCTATCTATTGACCAACCTACCTATCTGTTGTCACTTCTGTTACATGTGCAGATTTGGGAACATGGTTGCTTGCTTTCGTTATGCATCAATTGATGTTCATTCAGTATATCTTCCACCCCCCAAACTCGATTTCAACTATGAGAATCAGGATTGGATACAAAAAGAAATGAATGAGGTACAGTGATCACATTTTTTGATATGATTGTTACTTGAAATCGCACTTCACATAAGTAGTCTAATTATCTTAGGTTAACAGGTGGTTGACCGGGCGGAGCTTTTATTTTCTGATGTACTCAATGCTCTTCGTCAGATGTCTGAGAAAAGATCTGGCACAGGGTCACTTAACAGTGGCATTAAAGTATCCAACTCAAGACGCCAAATAACGGTATTGGAAGGGATACTACAAACGGAGAAAGCAGAGTTTGAGGTGAGGCCTTTGATTTTATCTTTTTAATTTTCCTTTTACACCCTGAATAATACAATACACTAGTCATATCCTAGTAACTGTACTTTATACATCCCTTGTGCATATATGCAGAGTGCAGACCTTATAAATTCAATGGACATATATGAATTTGATACGAAGGCTTTTAATAAAGGTTAATTAACTTATCTATTCCCAATTTGTGAACCAATAAATAAATTGTATAAACTGGTTTGGTGAACTATATCAATAAATGCTGGATTGGATAAACAATGTTACTACAAAATCTGAATTCAATGGTTCTACAGAATCAAATGAGTGAGTTGGTAGGTAACCTTCCGGAAAAAAGAAAAACATACTCCCTCCGTCCCATTTTAAATGTACCTTTTTTTGGAACCCAACTTTCTAAGATGTGGCTTTTAATATATTTTTTTTTATTGTATTGGTAGTGAATGAATTACCAAATCTACCCTTTGTGGGTTATGTGATGATGTTTTACATTTAGTTGTTTTTATAAGTTCGACGCAAGAAGGGTAAATTGGGGATGTTATAAAATATAGTACATTGACTTTTGAATTGGGACAATTATTTTGGGATAGTTAAATATGGAAAGGTGGACACTTATTTTGGGACGGAGGGAGTTGGTGATTTGATAGATTTAGGATCCTATACATCCACTCACTTCACTCTTCTTTATAAGATATATATAATATCCATCTGTATATATATTCTTTTTTACCTGAATTATGAAAAATACATTATTTTTCCATAGAATCTCAGCCTTCCGGATAATAAAATGCTCAGCTTTCATTCGTTTTTCCCTTGAAATATTAGGATATTCACATTAAGATAATTCTGTTCAAAATCAATGTGGTAGCGAAATTTATTGGAGATCTTTATACAAGTAAAAAAATTTAAAGAAAAGAAACAAATTTAATTGTTGTTGAAATTCAAAACCTTACTGATTTCAATATCGGGTTCCAATGTGTTTCTTGACTATTTTGTAGGAATCACTCCAGAAAATTTTGAATAGTGAGGCAAAAAGGGGCCAGCCCGTCATCGATATTCTTGAAATTAATAGGCTGCGGAGGCAGTTGCTCTTTCAATCTTATGTGTGGGACCAACACCTGATTTGTGTAGCCAGTTTAGACAGAAACAGCCTTCCTGAAAATCTCATTGGCTTCAACTCAGAATGGGTTGAGAAACCTCTTTTTGCTAATGAGAAGCTTCTTGAGATGAAAATGTCTGGGAAGCCAGACAAAGGCCTAAGCAGTTGTGACTCCATTGTTGTGGATGCAAAGCTCAATGGAAGCCATGATCAGGGAGGAGGAACTGGTATCCACATTAACCAGCCTCAGATAGTTGATGGAAATGAAATGGATTTAGATTCAATTAGTGAAAACAAAAAACAAGCTAATGTTTTTGCTGCTATAAACATCTCTGATGAATCTGATTCTCTGGAATCTAATGCTATTGTCCGTAGGGCTCTCTCCGAGGGGCAGTACCCTATTATGCCATGCTTGTCAGACACTCTTGATGCAGCATGGATTGGTAAAAATCCTCCAGGAATGGGAATACTGAAGGATAATATGTCTGAACTTCATGAATCTGCTGGTGCAGATCCTTCAACTGCAGTAACAGTGGTAGAAAAAATAGATTTGGAAGACCAAGGGGAGGACCAGAGCAGGCTGAAGTTATCTGTTTCTCCTATGTTGCCCACCAAAGGCCCGGAGTATATGGAAGCCTCTGGGAGCTGGTTGGGAATGTCCTTCTTGAACTTCTATCACTCAATGAACAAGAACCCCTTATGGAGTGATCAGAAGATGGATACATTTGGTGAATATAATCCTGTTTACGTCTCATCATTTCGGCAGCTGGAACTCCAAGGTGGGGCTAGGTTGCTTATGCCTGTGGGTGTCAATGATACAGTTATTCCAGTTTATGATGATGAACCCACAAGTATTATATCCTATGCACTGGTATCGGAGCATTATATTGGTCAACTGTCTGATGAGTCTGAAAGACCAAAAGGCAGTGGGGAATACACTGCTTCATTGCAGGCCCTTGATTCAGGGAACTTTCCATTGACGTCTTCCCTTGATGAACTGTCCTTGGAATCTTATAGGAGTCTTGGGTCGACAGATGAGAGCATCTTATCCATGTCTGGGTCTCGTAGCTCTTTGGTTATGGATCCACTCTCATACACAAAGTCTTTGCATGTCAAAGTTCAATTTTCAGATGTTGGTCCTCTTGGTAAGGTGAAATATATGGTTACTTGTTACTATGCAAAACGGTTCGAAGCCTTGAGGAGGATATGTTGCCCATCTGAGATGGATTTCGTAAGGTCTCTCAGTCGTTGTAAGAAGTGGGGTGCCCAAGGTGGCAAGAGCAATGTTTTTTTCGCAAAAACCTTGGATGATCGTTTTATTATTAAACAGGTTACAAAGACAGAGCTGGAATCGTTCATAAAGTTTGCTCCTGGATACTTCAAGTATCTATCTGAATCAATTGGCACGGGAAGTCCCACATGCCTTGCGAAGATTTTGGGGATTTATCAGGTAATATCTTGGTCTTTAAATGGTAGTGAGGTTAAATAATTTAGATCTTTAGGTTGAACAGACAATTTGCTAAACCCTGTCAACTAACCTGAAAAACTGATGCAATCGACTAAATGTCTTTAAATCTTGGCGTGGGCTTTATAATTTTTGTTATTCATCGACATATTCAAGGTTTCCAGGTAACCCTAATTGTTCAAAAAGGCTTAAGAAGAATGCTTCTAGAATCCTCACTTCGGTCATTATCATATACTTTATTTATTTATTTTTTACTTTTTTGTGCTTAGAAATAAATCAATCTTTCATAGTTTGGTTTTTGAAATTACCTATATTTTTTAACATTACCTTTTTTCTTTAACTAAGTAAAATACTTCAAGCTATGAAAAGTAATTAACCATTCCAGAGTTTAGAGAAGAAAATTAGAAAGCGTAAATGGTATCTGTATTTTGTCTGCATGACCATGCATGCATTGAATGCCCTATTCTAGTCATTACTTGGTGGAGGCACTGTTACATTGCATCTGTAGGATGTTGTTAACACTGGCACCAAGGCTAGGCAGAGACTGGGAAGATAGGTGTTGATTTTTTCACCATATGACTTATGCTACTACTCATCTCTGCAAGTTGACTGTTATTCTGATTTTCACTGAATCATCTATCTGTTATTCATTTATTTTTTGTTTTTAGAAAAATGACAATCTCTCTCCAATTATGTGTGAGACAAGTTTTGATTGAGTTTTTAATCCTAGAATAATTATAAAAGTACAAATTTTGAAACAGTGCATTGCCACTTCAGTCAGTCATATTTTCTCACTATGTTGCAATTTATGGATGTTTGAAATGGGTATTAATTTTGTGATGTTGCACTTCCTTATGAGCATTAAATTGCTATCATTTGCAAAATGGAGATTTTAGCAGTAAGCTATAGCTGATAAATATAAAAAATCACAAGAAAATTTGCGACGTTTGAGTCTTGTTATATGGACTTCAAACTCTTTCTATATGTCAACTGTCTATATGTTGCCCACCCGGCTTACTGTATCTTTTGCTATGTTGTTTATTTTGTTGGCCTTATGCCTTAAGGTTACATCAAAGCATCTCAAAGGAGGGAAGGAATCAAAAATGGATGTGCTGGTTATGGAGAATCTTCTGTTTGGGAGGAATCTGACGCGGCTTTATGATCTTAAAGGTTCTTCAAGGTCACGTTATAATCCAGATAGTAGTGGAAGTAACAAAGTTTTGCTGGATCAGAACTTGATTGAAGCAATGCCAACTTCTCCCATATTTGTTGGAAACAAGGCAAAGCGTTTGTTGGAAAGAGCCGTCTGGAATGATACTTCATTTCTTGCAGTAAGTTTTGGAACAACTCTGATATTATTCATGAATTTAAAATCACTGCATGAAACCCTTAATTGTTTTGGTACTGGGTCAAAGAAATGGTTGTTAATAGGCCTTTCCGTAAACTAGAGCACCTGTGGGTGGATTTGGTCAGTTCAATGTCTTCCTTGATTAACATGTAGTGGAAATGAGAATGTTAAGATGGATGAGCGGAGTGACTAGAAGAAATAGGGTCACTACTAAAAGTGTGAGGAAAATTAGGTGTAACACCCATTGTAGTGGAAATGAGAATGTTAAGATGGATGAGTAGAGTGATTAGAAGAGATAGGGTCACTAATGAAAGTGTAAGGAAAATTAGGTGCAACACCCATTGGTGAGAAAAATAGAGAGAGTGGACTTAGATGGTTTGGGCACATATATAGGAGACCTAGGGACGCACCGGTCAAACGAGGAATACTAGTTGTAATAGTTGTAATAGAAGGTAAAGAGATAGAGAGGGTGACCACAAATAACATAGGATGGGGTTATTAAAAAAGACTCTAAAAAGTTAAATTTAGTAAGTGAAATGGCATGTATTAGAAAAGGTTGGAGAGCGAATTTATGAGGCTGACTCCATTCATATGGAATAAGGCAAGGAAGATGATGATGAATATTGTCCTAGGTTGGGTGACAATTCGCTATATGTGTCACATCAACTAGGAAATTCAGGAAACCTGCATTATACTCAAACAATAAGGTCAACTTTGAGAAAAGTTATTTGTTATTTGTGATGCATCTCTCTCTATGTGTGTGTGTGTGTGGTAGTCCCAAAGCAGATTGTTCTCCAGTTTCCCAAAACTCAGTTGTTAGTTCCAGTGGTATATCCTCCTCCTTCCAAATGTAAGGTTGAGGGTTTGAGTCCCTATGGGACTAATGCGTCTGCATTCGACTTACCTACTAAAAAAATGTAATTCTAGTTGATTTAATTCTTGGTTCCCATCTTTGTAATTGGTTAAATTTATGTTGATGCAGTCAATTGATGTAATGGATTATTCATTACTGGTCGGAGTGGATGAAGAGAAGCAAGAGCTAGTGCTCGGCATCATTGATTTCATGAGACAGTATACATGGGATAAGCACCTGGAAACATGGGTGAAGGCTTCAGGTATCCTTGGTGGGCCCAAGAACACATCTCCAACAGTAATTTCACCCAAGCAATATAAAAGAAGGTTCAGGAAAGCCATGACTACATATTTTCTGATGGTCCCGGATCAGTGGTCACCTTCAACCATCATTCCAAGTAAGTCCCAGACCGATTTATGTGAAGAGAACACTCACTGTGGGACCTCAGCTGATTGATACTGTAACTCGGTGTGCTTGTACATCTGAATATGTAAGTTCGGAAATATTTGTCCCGCATCAATTTTCCCCTTTTTCCATATTGTATTTTTTTTCTTTTTTGCAGTTCCATTTCTATTTCTTATCAAAATTAGAAATCATGATTATTTGTCAGAATATGCAACAAGGCTGTGAAAGCCATGAAAATTTCTCCAGGGTATGATATTAGATGAGGTCCTGAAGAAGTTCTTGTACAACATCTTTCTTCTTGTATGTAGCACTGCAATTTGTATATGAATTACAATTATGATAGTGGATTATTTGTGCATCATATTTGAGATTTTGGATGTTGAAAACAATTTTGGATATGTCTCTTTATGATTTGTGCTGGCCGTGAACTTTCATTCTTGGAGTAGTTGAGAACAGGAGGCTGGTCACTTGTGAACATCCCCTGTTGACACGCAAATGAGAAAAAATTTCATTACCAGCTGGCTGGTATCTTATAGGCCATACTTTCCGGTTAACCTGAAAATGAAGCATTCACGTCAAACTCTGTTGTTTAGTCGCGTAATGTTGAGTCCCGTTTTGTTTAAGGCTGAACTGGAAATGACTCCATTTGAAATCGAAGCATTGAAAATGAGCTCTTGTTTTTTCAAACTTGCAGGTGACAAAGTGATCCCCTTCCTTTCTAGAAGCAGATTTATTCTCAAATGTTCAATTGCTGAGTTAATTTTCATGGTGTGGGTTAGAATTAAACAGTGTCTTTTTAGTCATGCCCATCAATCCTGAAATTTGTTCCCATTTTTCTTCTGAACTCTGAATTTATTCAGGATTATTTTCTATAAAATGTTCTAATTGGTAGTGTTGCCATGGTGGCAATTTACGTGGCATATTTAGTCAATCATATGGCGTCATTGGGAAGGTGCATCTGTCACTTTACTTTGACAACATTGTTCTCCAATATCCTATTAACACATGTACAAGTTTCACTGAGAGAATGAACATTTCTGAACGTGATATGTTTGGCATTATATGTGATGAGCATTTCAGAGCATATAATGATTGTGAAGCTTTAAACATGTCTGTTCCAAACCAGCAACTGTTTTTCAACAATTAGGTAGCAATAGCAAGTGTAATCTGAGTCATGGTGCATTTTTTTTCAGTTGAGCCAAGACTTTCTGACTATATAATTGACTCTCGTAATTGGTCCAAACAACATATTAGGCGAAATTAATGTTTACAATATATCATTAGAAGAAAGCCTGTCTTTACATGATATATAGTGCACATATATATATATATATATAAGCATAGAGATTATACATGTATTTATTAGTAGAACGTGTTGAAACCATTCCAGTTGAAGTCTTTTTGCCCACCAACACCTTTGCCATTATGGTCAAGATCAACATCTTCAGCAATTTGAAGCCAGCACTTTTGCAGAAGATCAATAATGTCAGCATCTCTGAACTCAGCGAACAGTTTGCAAAAACCACTAGTTAGACAGACAGAGGATGGATCAAATCAAAAACTATGTAGGATATGCTAATTTGTGTTGGGACATGGTAGTACCTTGGATTACATGCCATTATTGAAAATTGTTGAAGACGAGGGCCCTCGTCGAACCCTTCACATGTTATCTCCCCCTTCACATCTCTGTAACATATGATACCCTTGGACTGATCTTCGAAAACCTTTCGGAAACCAATTATAAATTTAAAACGAATGAATTTTATTTATTTCTATATTTTGATCGAGAGTAAAAAATACAAAATTTGGACTAGGTAAGATTCAGATCTTGGGTCACAGATTTATTTATTTATTTTTTTAAAAATTTTTATTAGCATCACGAAGAAACAAATTAGAAATTAGACAAAGTTACAGAGGTGCACATTAAGAATAAGAAAAACATACCTTTTCCTTAAAGGAGGATCTGATCTGAAGTGAAAACGTTTTCTTAACTGAGATTTGATTCTGTGCAATCATCAGCACCCTAGTAACATGCTTCTTGATTGGGCAAGCTTTTTGAATTATCAGAGCAGGTGAAGAAGAGTATGTTGCAGCCATTTGATCTTATGCCGGGAAGATGATGATGAAGAAGAAGATGGTGTTTTTTTTTATATGATGTGGGGGCTTGAATGGCTATTTCTGGATTAGAAATATAGAGTTACTGGTTTGGTTTGTTTGTATTTAAAGTAAAAGTAGATATTAAATTGAAGGCACCGATGATAGGCATGTCTTATCATATGGTGCATTATATAGGTGATTATATGTTAGGTGGGACCATCTAACTTATCTTCTACCTGTAGTTGCTGATGAATCCTCCTTAGTCATCTGGTTGGCTCATGAGATGGAATGACTTTTTCTTTGAATAATTATTTAGGTCTACTAACTCTACTCTAAGGACTAAGCTGAACAAATTATTACTTGTTCTTTCAGGGAAGTGGCAAACTGAACTTACAACTACCCAAGTACACACATGCATATAGCTTTCAAGTTTGAACTCAAACTTCTATACAGAGATGGAATATATATATATATATATAATGAGAGAGAGAAGAGGGGTTTCCTGACAACTTGGCAGTGAGATTTTTTTATATTGAAAGTCCATCATACTACAGGGAACATGGAAAAAAAATGCAATGTACCATTGTTATTTATTATTGTTAATCACTTGAATGATTGTGTGGCCTAATCAGTGGGTTACTTAAAATAATAAGAAAGCATATGTTGTGATTTGAAGAGATTGTTTCGTTGTCAATGTTGAGCAACACGCAACACATTTTTTATATACCAGATTACCAACCTGTATTCTCCTTATTCATAGATGTGTACATTTTTAATTATCCAATTATTTTAAATTCATGTCATTTCTTAGCTGTACTTATAATGCTATGTCATTAATGTCATCAATCAATTATAATGTATTTATTTTCACTTGTCGTGGTGTCGGTGCTCCCTATTATTACTCTTCACCGAAAGCAAAAGGAAGTGCTGTCTCTGTTGGAAAAAAGGTGTGTTGGCCTCACCTATCATTAAAGTCCCAAGGTCTTCAGCTCTATAAATGAAACCCTTGGTCTGCAGAAGAAGGGGTCCAACACCATTAAAAGCTTCCAAGCTTGCACACTCAATTTAGTTACCAATTCACTTCACTTGTTTTGTTTAGTTTGATTTAGTTCAAACACTAGTATTGTACTCTCTCACTAATTATAACAAAGCAAACTAACATTAATTGACCATTTGCTTGGACACTGATAAGTTACTCAAAATTTCAGTGGTTTGTGAAGTGGGAAGTTGAGAGTCGGAGTCTTGATGTTTTGTATAATTTCAGGTTAAATTAGAATCAAACTGATTTTATTAATTTTTAAAAAATTAAGTCGAAACTGAAATCAAATTCGTTACACCTTATAATAAAACTAAATTGTAAAAGATCGATTCGATTCTAAACCACAGTTATGGAATTTGAAGAATTTTCTAAAAAAAAAAAATTAATGTAATAACACTATTAAAGGTTGTCAATATAGTAGTGCCTTAATTGAATGCAAAAAAATTGAGAGTAGAAATATTAGATTATATAACATTAAATGAAAATTATTGGGTGGTACTGATAAACACTGTTAAGTGTTAATATTAAAACATAACATTGAATGTATAAAATTTTTCATAATGAGAATACAACAAGGTCTCTCCAAACAGAGACATGTAAACTATATAGCCTTATGTTATATTTTATATTATATATATATATATATATATATAGTTTACGTTTTAGTTCGGTATTAATTGACCTGGAACTAGAACTGAACCGTAAATTAATGATTCTTTATTTTGCAAACCAAAATCAGAACCTCAATTTTTCTATAATTCGTTTTGATTCCTTACCTTTTTTTTTTTTTTGTAGATATAAAAGACTTTGCATTAGTAATAATTAAATTTTTTGGGCCGGGCCACAACCTGTTTACGACTTAGGCGAATGTTCCATTAGCAATATATATTAAAGTTGATATTGAAATCTGATATTGGGCCAGGCGGCCCAGGCTATAAAATACTACATTAGAACCCAAGACGAAACAGATTAGCCCAAAATGATATCCCTCTTAAAGAAGGAATCATGGGCTCCTCGCTCATCACCAAGAAGATTTTTCTCTTTATTTTCTTTTTCAAAAAGATTCAATCATTCAAAAATCTTTTTGTTGGAAATTAAACTTAGATATATTTTTTTAAACCTCTAACAAGTGAAGTAAATGATATAGGATATATTATATAGGTTCATATAGGAAATCAGTGGCAGATTTTTCGATACTCAAGTAGATTAGTGCCTCTGGTGAATTTTGAAATGTTAGGTTTTGACTCTCTACATTATTAAGAATTTTTTTTTTTTTTTTGATAAAAAAGTGTACAAAAAAATATATTGGTCTACCTCTTGTTAGTGGTTTTCGATCATAATATATATATATATATATATATCAATCAATCAAGAATTACACACTTCTACTAGTTGCAAAAATGTATAAACAAGAATAACTGTTTACAAGCAATTTTTGGATCCATTGGAGGAAAGCTGTAATAATTCAATACATACGCTGTCATGTAACAAACAAACACCACTCTTATTAGGGTTGAAGGATAAGCTGACAGATCCGAGTCCGAATGTAACATAGACAAAAATTGACGTTGCACCAGCATTTAGCTAGTATCATATGGTAAATTCTCATGTTACTTCCAAGGTTCAAGTTTCAATATTTTTCCAAGACTTCACTTACATTATAATGAAAGCTTACAATTGTGCTGATCGAGCATTCAAATTAATACATTATCTACACATTTATATGTTGTCATTATCTACGCATTTACTTCCAATGTTCAATAAAAAGAAAATATTCAAGTCTTTATTTTTTTTGTTAAATTATATTGGACAAATTATATATAGATAAACCTTTATTATTTTAATATCTCTTGAAATTTGGCGCATACTCAACAACCCTCCAGCATTTTTTTATGGGCATACTTATTGACCAAATTTTATAAAATGACAATTTTGTCCTTTCCTTTGTATGAAAATTTTGCGTGAATATCATGTCATAACTGACTTTTCATACTCAAAGTCACATTCACCAACTGTCGGATAGGGTTTAGGAAATATCAAACTAATTTGTCAAAACTTTAAAAAAGATTAGTGTAATTTACCTTATTTTTTTTTTATTTTTTATTTTTTCAACACGTCCAAAGTTTTACTTTGACACACCATACTCAAGATCTCTGCTTTTACCACCTTGCACTTCCTATAAGATTTACAGATGGCATTATTATGATATTCAAAATTTAATACACATCCCACAAACATCACATATTGCATCACATTTACATTCCCATCATAATAATAATAATAATAATAATAATAATAAGAAGGAGGAGGAGGGGGAGGAGGAGGAGGAGGATATTATTTATCATTCATTGGGATTAATAAGCATCACTCAGTCTCACTCTGTACAAAGTAATGAATCTAAAAACTTGATTCTACAAGCATGACTCTATAAACCTTAAAACCATCACATTGTTTAGCATGTGCCTTGATTGTCCATGAAAAATAATTGTAATTGCAACATTAATGTAGCACGGGAACAATAAGGCATGTACAATAGCTACCACGTTAATGCACCATGAGAGCATTAAGGATATGTAGAAGCCCAATAGGAATCAGAATAAACAAACAAAAATCCTTTTTTTTTTTTTTTTTTTTTATTATTATAAATTTTGCCTAAGCAAGTTCAGACACATGAGAAATTATTACATGGGAATATCATTGATCACAAACTTACATGATTAACAATTAAATGTGTCAATTTTATATCAAAGTTTTACTTATATATATATTTAGTAATAATTTCAAACTATATAATAATTTCTCCTTCATACATCATATATGTATGTACGTGTGTAAATATATATATATATATATATATATATATTATTTTTTGTTTTTTTTTAATTATTCGTCTAGTAAATTGTGACGAGTAGTATATTGAAATGGGTTAATTAGAAAGGGTTTATTACATTGATTTATGAATTGTCTATATAGGAGTACCATGATTTTCCAATTCCGAGCAGAGCCATAATCCTCTCTAGACTAATGAGTGCCTTTCTCACCTCCCCAAGGGAGACTCTTCTTTTTATGAAGTACCATTTCGTCTCCTTCCTCATCCATTACAAACAAGGTAGGACTATATTACTGTAGTTTCATTTTTTAAGGTAGAGCTCATGGATCGTTCCTCATTATAACCTATGGTTGAACAGTGTTTTGGACCATAGTTTCCTAGGGGTCAATGCTTTTTTCCTACTTCAGCTCTACTGCATTACTGTTCAACTGTCCTGAGAGTGTCACTTTCTCAAGAAAGAGAGAGAGAGTTTCATTTCATGACAAAAAAATGAAATACAACAACAAGAGATAGATTCCTCTATAGTCTGGCCTCAAATCAGTGATCCATTCAAAGCTCACAATTATGGATCTCACAACCCCAAAATATTTTGAAGATCCAACCTTGTTTGCATCCCATCTGGTAAACAAAATGCCTCATTCAGATTTTTGTTTATAGGTTTTGTTTTGCTTTATATAACTTTTGTGTTGTTTTTGGGTGTTTGTGAATCAGGAACCACCATTAGAGGGAAAAAGTGGATTCTACAAGAACCCTTTTGCTGATACATTCCCAGACCCACTATGCAAGCTCAATCTCAAAGAAACATCTGAGTTTGTCAAGTCATTCCCAATGGCAAGCAGTGGCCAAGAAAGAGGCTTTCTTGATGTTTCAGCTCAGAGGATGAGAGAGGGGATGAGTTCAGTCACAAAGAGGCATGTGGAGGCTCCTTCAACACCTGGTAGACCTATTTTCAGCTTCAGTGTTGCCAATCTCTCAAGAAAGACCCAACCTTCAAAGTGGGATGATGCAGAGAGGTGGCTTATCAGTAGTAGTTCTTGTCAGGACTCACCTGCTCATCACCATGGCTTGAAGCTACTAGAGTCCTCAAAAATGGCCAAACAATGTGATGGGCACAACAAGCATGAGGTCATTGCAGAGAAATCAAGAGTTACAGAGGAAAAGGTCTCAAAGGTAGTTTCAAGCCTTCAAGGGCCTTTATCTTTGGACCATCATCATAACTCAGCCAGAGCTTTCAATGGGGTTTCAGCTTCAGCAGAGGTACTTCTAAAAGGTTAGGACCCTTTCCCCAACTTTGGCCCCTATGTGGTCCACCACTATCATAGTGTCTCTCTTTTTGTCTTCTAAAAGGCTTCTACAAACTTTTTTTTAACTTTGCCTCACTTGTTTGATTTAGGTTTCTTAGTACTTCTGATCAATGTGAAGTGTGCATTTACTTTTGATACTGTTTCGCTAGCATGCTTCTATGAGATGAAGCCACTGCAATTTTTTTTCTTTTTTTTTTTTGCTTTCAAAAAGCAAGAATTGCAATTTTTTGGCTTCCAAAAGCACTTGGAAGTTTTCCCCCAAAAGTACTCATTTTTATTCAAACTCAATTTCTGTTACTCATTGGAGGTTATTAATCTTGAACAAGAGTCAAGTGGAAGCACTTCTCTTGATCTTATGAGATGAAGCTACTGCAAATTTTTGCTTTCAAAAAGCAAGAATTGCAATTTTTTCTTGCTTTCAAAAGCACTTGGAAATTTTTCCCCAAAAGAAATCATTCTTGTTCAAATTCAATTGCTGTTACTCATTGGAAGTTGACTTGCAGTTTGAGATTAAAATACCCACAATCTTGAACAACGGATTTTGATACTGTAGATAAGTTCACAAATGAGGAAGAACCCATCGTGCCCAAATTTAGATGCTCAGAGCCCATGAAAGAAGTGTTTCTGTTTGGAAACTCAGCAGACAAGTCCATGAAAGATGCAGCCACAGAGGTGGTTCATGATATTAAACACAGAGACATTGGAACGGAGATGACTCCTCTCGGCAGCTCCACCACTTCGAGATGCCACACGCCGATCAAGAACTCGTCGCCGGCGCGTCACAACACGCCAGCTAACAGGTCAGGCCCGTTGGCCCTGACGAGCTCCAGTAGTATTAACAACAGTACCATTGACATTACAGAGTTGCAAGAGTGCCATTTAGCTAAGCTACAGCTTGGGACACAATTCGATTCCGTCACAACCAATTGGAGCTCGAGGGAAGAGGAGGAAGAGGACATATCAAAGAGCTTGAGACATTTTGAAATGAGCAATGAGTGCAGGAAAAGTGTCTCGGAGTCTAGAACTTGTGCATGGGAGGAAGAGGAAAGGACTAAGTTCTGCCAAAGGTAAATGGGCTTTGCATTTCTGCATTTATCTTATTTTCTACATTGTGTTGGGTACAAATTGTGATTAGAATTACAGGTACCAGAGAGAAGAAGCCAAAATTCAAGCTTGGGTGAACCTACAAAGTGCTAAAGCAGAAGCTCAATCAAGAAAGCTTGAGGTAAGATTTTTTATCAACCCCTTCTCCTTTTTAGGTCTCTTTTTCTGGCTTCAAATTCCACAGTATTAGTGTTTCAACTAGTATATAAATCAACTATCATCAACATTTTCTTCGCGATAGAAACACATTTATCATAAACATAAATTTGGATGACTGCCTTGAGTCCTTGAGAGACTCTGTTACTTCTCGATTTAATTTGTTGTACGCATCAATAGCAACCAAAAAGCGTACACTAGAGGATCCGGACTCGGCCTCCAAATGTTATATTCAAAGTAGTTTTCTCTTCTATTTATTACTAGTAATTGAACAAACAGGCTATGCGCATATCCTATGTTCCACGGACATGACTTAGCCTCCCTAGTTTTTAGTATTTTGCTCTTATTTTATAGGTTAAATAGTATTCATTCATCCTTACAAAATTGTATAATAACAGGATGTTTTATATACAGTTATACAATGAATTCGAATCGTCAAACGTGTCAAATACATGTCCATACTCCATATCCGTATTCAACTATCTCAGTGCGCTTGAGATAGGTATTTCACTCGTGTAGAAGGGGGGTCCATGTTGATTAAATATTGTGATAGAGTTTCATTAAAAAGGGTCTATATTGCGTATAGAATTAATTATTAGTAGTAATCTCAATCCCAGAACTCACTAGTTTGGAATCTTGGATATATCTATCTAGTGGCTGAATTATGCTGACTAAATCTGGAAGGCAATGTTGGCTTCATCCTCCTCGAGCCACCCGCAGAACAGCTCTCAAACACTCCTTCCCTTTTATTTTCTTTTGTGGTCCAACCTCTATTTGAGTGTCATCCTCAACCCAATGGGCATTAAAAAATATGCTTTCACACTTAAGAAGGCAAGAAAAGTCATTCAAGAACATACTTTTTTATACCTTATGCAATAAACAAGTGTTATAGTTGTAAACCCATGTGAGGGTCGTGCAATGACAAAATCTTAGGGAATAGGGAAGATTTATTATACTTGAAATTTGAATTTGCAATTCCTTCCTAATAGATGAAAACAATGATTGCTCTAGATTAAGAGTTGTGAGTGTGTGACTTTGTTTGTACACCACCTTTGGTTCCCAAGTGAGGTGTTGGTAATGAAAGTGGAGTGAAAATGAGGCTACCCAAGTGATAAGAAATTCATATTGGGACCAAATTCATAAAGATAATTAACATATAGTGATGAATTAGGACCCCCACTAGTTATGCTTTCGCGCCATTTTCATCTTCGTCCTCATCTGAATTAGCAGTCATCGGTTATTAGAATTGTTAAAAGTAGATGTCTTTTTCAGGTAAAAATCCAGAAGATGAGATCAAATTTGGAAGAGAAACTGATGAAGAGAATGGCAGTTGTTCATAGAAAAGCAGAGGACTGGAGAGCAACGGCGCAACAGCAACACTCTGAGCAGATTCAAAAGGCTACCGAGCAAGCGCTGAAGATAAAGAGCCAGCAAAACTCCCATTTCTCTGTAAACAGGTCTTGCGGTTGCTTCCCTTGTAATAACCATCACCACTAGAAAGTAGAAACCTGCTTTGTGTATCTCAAGTCTTGAGATGAGTACCATTTTTTTTTTTTGTTTTTTTTCTCTCAGAAACGATATCTTCTATAAATCTAATGAGAAATTCCTAACCTCAGGTTAAAGGGACCTAACAAAAAAAATTAAATAAAAAGGCCTTTTTGAATACTTCTATTGAAGGAATAGGGCTGAGAGATGCTCATACCTCAATTTTCAATAAAGATTTTAAAACAAGTTTGTCGCCAAGAAGCATGCTTGCTTCCTCCGGGTGTGATGGGACAAGCGTTTGGGAGCAGCTATGACCCTATGGCTTGTGTTGTCTGTTGTTACAGAATTGTATGGTGCTGAAACCAAAGAATGAGGTTGGTTTAGATCATGGAGATTTGCATTCACTGTTGGATTGTCCTGCTGCTGCTGCTAGTTTTGGTTTACCTACATTCAGAAGGGAGTTAGAGCTAGGCAGCAGCCTAGGCTCATTAGACATATGAATCTACAAAACCCTGTCTTGAAAGAAATTCTTAAATGTCTAAATTACTTGTGTAAAACCTTTTAAACAATTTTTTCCCCAACAATGGTGGCATTGAGTCTCTTAAAGTACTCAATAATCTACTGGCGGGCATATGCAATCCTCTCATCCTATATGTATCGGGCAATTACCAGACGCGCTAACCGAATTTAAACATCAGACCTCCAAACTGTAAAGTAGGAGAGTCTTTTAGCTGATAGACTATTCCATTGGGGTTAAACCCTTTGAACATTTAACCACTGGGAATATCCCATGCAACAGTTGGATGGCAGCAAAAGTGGGATGTGAAAGTAGTTTCTTTCTTTCTTTTGGGCTCATGATCCTTGACCCCCTTACTTGGAACCTCCCTCCAGATACATATATTGACAAATGGCTAAACAGAAGAGGTCATATGGAGGCAGAGAATAGAGATTCTCCCAAGAAAAGATAGATATGGAGTCAGCAGGACCCACATAATTTTTTCGCATACAGAAGGAAAAGCTTTCAATAAGTGCTGCAGACCCCTGTTGGTGTTGGATGGATGGGATCTCTCTCTCTTTTTCCCAATGCTGCGCTGCACTGCACTGCCATCAAATCTTAGTAAAGAGAAAAGATGCTGTGTGATGTTTTTTCATGCTAGAATGACTGAACCATGCTAATCAAACCAAACAAACAGAATCACAAAACTTTTTAAAAAGTGAATCCAATGGAATGCTGCATTCTTCCACTCTAAATTCAGAACCAAGTCTCATCAAGTGGACAATTCCAAAAAAAAAAATCAAATCAATAAACATTAGTCCACTTAGTATTTTCTTTTCTCTTCAAATTTCAAATGAATAGTTTGAGTGTTGCATAGTAATACCGTGAGTGTTTGTTTGTTTTTTTTTTTTTTTTTGGTAAATCCAATCCATACATTGTGGTTTAAAAAAACCGTTGCACGTGCATATTATGGAGGCATGTGACCTAGTGATCTCTCCAAGAGTATTATGGAAGTATTTATCAGAAAAATGTATATATATATATTATTCCTTTCTTTTTGTTTTTAATTATTCGTAAATCAATTATTTTCTTTTGTTTCCTTTTCCGCACATGGAGCCTAATGATACCTAATGAGAGTGAGTTGTACCTTGAGGCTTCCATTTATTATGTGAACCAAGATGGACTGTGTTTGGACCTCATAATTTGGATTGATATTTTCCCGGGCCTAAACCCAAACACGTATCAAGTGCATTAGGTTAGATTTGGGCCTTGTTTAGGTCTAGTCCATCTGGCTCCACATGCAGTGATAAGCTTGGGCCTTGGTGTTCTCTAATTTCAACCAGCCCGTAAAGAATCAAGTTCAACCCAGTTATCCGATATAACCCGAATAGCCGTCCCTCCCAGTCTTGCCTTGTCTCACAAGAAGGGTTAGTTCAGAAAAGCACATAGACACATAGCAGCAGAACAATCAAGCAGTACTACTCTCTCTCTCTCAAATCCCCAACTTTCTCTTTCATCGAACAATCACCGGTAGTGTATATCCCCATCTGATTACATACTTGAGATGATCATGAAATCAGTTCTTTGTTTCATTTTGCCCCTTTTGAGTTAATCGAATCAAATTGCTAAGATCTAAGAGATCGTGAATTAAAATTCTACATTTATATTTCTGATATGTTTAGTTGTTTTTTTATTGCAGATATTAAATTTCTATTTGAATTGAAGATGTTTCTCACAAGGTCAGTAATTTTGTACTGCAAATCTAGGGTTTATCTGATTCTCCTTGAGATCGCCGAAATATATCGAGTATAACTTATCTTGTTTGTTTTTTCCGCTAAATTTTCTTTGTGCGTGTGATTGAAGGACTGAATACGATAGAGGTGTCAATACATTTTCTCCAGAAGGTCGATTGTTTCAGGTTGAATATGCCATTGAGGCCATTAAGGTAACATCTACTCTCTCTGTATCTGTATGTGTGCATACTACAAACAAATTTTGATCTTTGTTCTAAATTAGCTGTTTTGCCCAGGATAAGTGGTATGGTTTTTGCACTAAATTGAAATATTTACTTCTGATTACTGTTGTCATTACAGCTGGGTTCCACCGCAATTGGGGTGAAGACAAAGGAAGGAGTTGTGCTTGCTGTTGAGAAGCGTATCACTTCACCACTCCTGGTCTGCCTGCTTTCTCTTTTGGCCTTATTTTTTAAATGCCTTCTTTTATGAGTAAGATCATTTTAACATGTTATGCTAGCTAAAAGTACACTATATAGCCTGCCTATTGTTGGAACTTCATCGTGATTTCATTTTTATCTGACTGAACTGATGGCCCATTTGTGTTTGTAACTCGACTGGTTGAGATAGGTCAGGTGTGCAAAATATGAATGAAGTGAAATGCTTCAGCTAACATGAATCTGGTTAAATGCTTCGTCAAACATGAGTCAAGTTTTGTGCAAATAATGTAATTGTTGGTCTGTACACAGTCTACCCCTTGCGACAATTTTGATTAACTGGGATCATAATAATGGCTTTTAAGTGAAAAAAGAAAACATTATGGTAGTGGCTAGAAAGGAACTGTTCCTTTTTTCTTTTTGGTGGGCGTGGGAGGGTGGGGGAGGGTTTGGGATCATAATTGCTGTGAAGTTGGAAAATGCATAGACGGTGGCAATAGGTGTGCAAAAAATTGTAAAGTTCCAGTTTCAGCTCATGTGATGGAGTCCCTATGCTGTAAATGTAAGTCAAACTTGTTTCGATTGTTCCACTGTGCCAGTGCAGTTAAGTTGTCTTTATTCAAAATTCTATATCTGTTGCAGTGTTGCTGAATTTAGAACTAGCTTTGTTCTTGTTGTCAACCGGATGCTTTGGTTAATATTGGATATTTGAAATGTTCCAACTTCTGCAGACAATTATTTTGTTTTAATTCTATCTCAGGAGCCCAGCAGTGTGGAGAAAATTATGGAAATTGATGATCATATTGGGTGTGCAATGAGTGGATTAATTGCTGATGCTCGTACACTTGTTGAACATGCACGAGTTGAAACTCAGGTAACCATCACCATCAGAAATATTGTTTTACTTTTATTTAGTAGTGTAATGCTGATAAATTAATGATTTATGATTTGTTTTGACAGAACCATAGATTCTCATATGGTGAGCCCATGACCGTTGAGTCCACTACACAAGCTCTGTGTGATCTGGCCCTGCGATTTGGTGAAGGGGATGAAGAATCTATGGTTAGCTATTACTGTTTATGATACTAATTGTTATTTTCATTCCCTTTTATGTTATTTAGTAATCAAATATTTTTTCTGCCTTCTGTTTTGTGTCTAACTGTTAAAACTTGTTTGATCCTTTCAACAATTGATTTTGTTTCTTTGCCATAATAAATTTTGGCATTTATCGGGCATGAAGTTTTTTTGGTTATTTAGGAACCTAAAAATGAATTGGTGGTTCACTGTCATACGTAATCCCGCCTTGTCATTCCTTTCATTACTAGGACAGTAGGACCAAGACTGTCCAATGAAAACATTGTTTACGCCTATGTCTAGCACCTCCTTAAGCCATTGGGTTGAACCAGATTACATTCTTGGGCTGTATATGATTTTCACTAGTTTATATAAGTTGGTAGAAATCTGCATATTTGACAATATCATCCGTTCCTTTTTATGAGTAGCTGATTTTGAACAAGAGGCCACCTGGTGGTTAAAATATATTATTTTTTCATGGGCATGATTGCTTTCTCATGATTTGGCAAGTGTTTGTTGTCTGAGTGAACTACTAGTCCATAATTATAAGTAAGCAGGAGCGAAGTCCCAGAGTGCCTCCTTGACAGCTGTGGTCATAGGATCAAGCCTAACATCTCAGCGATATGCATAGGGATGTATGTCTAGGGCTTTAGGAGAAAGAATGGCAATCTGGCAGCTGATGTCAGTTAGCAAATTACAATGCACTGATTGAAAAAGACCATCAATTTCTTTCTTTCTTTCTTTTTATTTATTTATTTTTATTTTAATCATTTTTCATTATCTGTATAATTTTTGGATATTTGCTTTTAGAAGTATTTTTTATTGGTAGTTTCGTCCGGGAACCATTATAAAACTGTAATGCACACATGTTTGTTTAGAAGATTGATTATGCCAAATTCAAATTTTTTTGAGCTTTACTTGCTAATTGATTCTTGGGATTAAGCTTGAGATTTCTCTTTGTTCCCTTTTTTTTTTTTTCTTTTTCTTTTCATAGTCTACTTATCTGCTCTAAGATTGCCGTCATTTCTTCAAGTTTGTAGTGTTAAGAATTGATGTTGTACCAGGCACCTTTGTTATTCTTAATGCTTCAAAAGCAGTGTATATCAAATGGTTGCTTATATGATTTGTATGTAAAAATGTTTAGACATATTTCTATCGAATTTCATATTCTCCATCTGGTATTTATGTGCTGGTCTTGATGATTATGTCATTTTTATGTGCTGGTCTTGATGATTATGTCATTTTTATGTGCTTTCAAATGTTTGATTTATTGGGCTTCTTTGCAGTCTCGACCTTTTGGAGTATCTCTTCTCATTGCTGGTCATGATGAGAACGGACCTAGCCTGTAAGTATTAATCTGTTTCAAAATCTGATATCTTTATCTAAAAATTTGTTTCTAGATTATTGTAGCATTGGGTTTTAATTTTAGATATGCAAGCTGTTGTTTTCCCCCAATTTCCTTACTTCTACATCTTCTAGAAAGGTTCCCATGTTAATAAGATATAGGGTAAATTACACTCACCTCCCCTCTAGTTAGCTAAAAGTTCAAACTGCTCCCCTTGATTATTCAAAATATTGTTTACCTCCCTAAAACAAACGTCCGTCAGGGTCAGACACAGTCAAAGCTGTTAGATGATGATGTCAGCAATCTGAAACCAGGAAAACTCCATATTGCCCTTCAAATATATGTGAAAACCATTTGTCCATTAGGTGTTGTTTAAAATACAATTATATCCTCACGTGCTCCATTTCTCACTCCACTCCTGAACTTGCCATCTGCTCCTTTTGTATCTCTCATCTCCACCACTCCATTGCGATTACTTCCTCCCATTGTTACACCTCCTCACTTCTCTCTGCTCCACAGCCTCCACCACCACCACCTCTGTTCAATTTTGACAAATTTTGATTTTGGTTCTTCCTCTCCACCCCTCCACCTCCACCACCACCTCCCATAGCCACCACCCCCTACGCAATTTAAATATGAGAAATTTTGATTTGGGATTTTGGAATTTGATTCAAAGGAATTTTGACTTCTCTTTTGCAGCTTCTGGAGTTTCAATTTCTCATATATTTTTATATGGGTTGTTGAATTTAATTCTCAAACAATATGATTGGACATATCTGGGCTGGATGGTTGGGGATCGTTTCTAAGATTTTGTGTGAAGAGCCCATATGCACACACACCAATCATATAGCTTCAAAATGGGTTGAATGATTTTCTTTGTTTTCATCTATTTATAGTTGAATGTGTATATATGATGCACCCATGCGGGTCTCTTAGATACCCTGTACTTTAGTGTAGCCGTGAACACAAACCATAAATCAATTGAAAAGGAAAGTAAAAGAGACTTGATGAGTCAATTAAATGTGAGGATAAAACTAGCAGCTACATATATATGGCTGCATACATATATGTGTATATATACATATATTTTGGTCATTTTAAATGACGAAGAAATGAGGAAGAAGGGTAGAGATTGTGAAGTACAGATCATGAAAATTAACTGAAATGGATTTGAATAAACACCAACTGATTGTGAATTGTGAAGAAGAGGAGGTTGGGCTGTTGTTGCAGGTTATTGAGACATGACTTGGGCTTAATTTTTGCTAATGAGAAATTGTGAAGCACCATTTTTGAAACCATGTTTTATATATATATATATATATATATATATATATATATATATATATATAGTGTGTGTGTGTGTGAGAGAGAGAGAGAGAGAGACAGAAAGTAGGGTTAAAGTTGTGATGGAATGAAAAGAGCGTCAGATGGGTCTCTTAAACCATGTGATGGTGTGAGGTCTTTTGGTAAAATTGCCATGGTCCGTTAATTGACACATACATTTGTTTTAGGGGAGGTAAATGGTATTTCGAATAATTGAGGGCAGCCGTTGAGCTTTTAGCTTACTAGAGGCGAGGTGAGTGTAATTTACCCTAAGGTCTATTGCCTTTACTGGTATCCAGCCATTCATCAGGTTTTTGCAGGAAGCACACTTATTTTGTATCTGTAACACTAACACCATGAATACTCATTAACGCGGAAAACTATAGGTGCCTATGGTAACAAGTTAACTTCTTCGGAGTTGCCTTTACTGTTAGTTGTGTCATTGTCAGTAGCCAGTGCCAGGCCACTATTAAAACCTGGACTTTACTTCTGGAGCTATATCTTTGCACCATCTGCCGCTGCCCCTCAATTTTGCTTACCCTATCAATATTCACCTTACCATCTTTTACACGACCAATCCATCAATGTTAAGTTTCATTGGGGTACCTGGGAAGCTTCTATCCACCACAATAAGCTCTGTTGCCTTAGCAGTTGCTCAGTATTTGAATCGAAGGTGTCTGCTATTTCCCTGGTCTATCTGAATTTTTCATCAGCTGCGCACTTTTTTATTTGAATAATTCAAATAGCCTGTATATGTGTGATCAGTATCAACAAGGCATGTATCTGGAAGGAGGAGATACCACTGAGGACTCAAACCCTCAATATTCCATTTGGAAGGAGGAGATACCACTGAAGTGTAGGAAGCACAGATACTTTTATAAGGGCGATGTACCCCTATAATATCTGTGTCAGTGGATACCGAATACCGACACATCTTGGATATTTGCAAATATATGTCTGATACTTCCTAAATTTATCCATAAGTGTAAAATTATATATAAATTTTTTACTTCTAACGCATTGGATACTTCTCAGTCGATCAGGGTGTTTGATACTTAAGGATACATATTTAACAAGTCTTGAAAATTAAAATATGAACTTTTAAAAGTTATCATTGTATAGTTTAGATTTTCTTTTTTAAAAAAAGGTATTGAAATTATATCATGACTGTTTTAGTTCAAAATTTATCCATGCATTATATCTCTCAACTCTCAGCTTATTGTCATAATTTTTTATAAGAAAAGGTTAGTGGAACAAAATTATTATTTAAATTTATCCATAAATATATGGATATATATATATATATATAGTAATTTTTATACATATCTGTATTAATATAATATATACGTTGTCATGTGTTTGATGTATACATATCCTATTTTTTAAGAATTTTTTGTGTCGCCATATCTATATCATGTTGTCTCTGTATCCCGTATCCATGTCCAGGCTTCATAGACTTGTGCTGAGCTCTTGGTATCACATGTACAAGTTTGGTAACTTTCTTAATGTAATTTTTTTAGTTTTTTAATTGTTTCTTCCCTTGCTCCCGGGCTGAAGAGCAAGAGATCCGTGACTTGTCCAAAACCTGTTGGCCTGTTGGATCTCATCAGATAGTCTATGAGAAAAGCCACTTTAACCTTGTACCATTTGCTTTCCAAGATAGTGACACCTCCTGTGAAATAATATATTTTTGCCTTCTCTTTTGTTATCGCCGTTCACTTATTGGTACGGACAACTTTTCTCCAATTTCCTTGCTGGCTAGGCATTGTCCACAAGAAGCAGCCTCACTTGAAATTTCTCCTTCATCAGGCCCTAGATTGAACCATCAATTGTGTCCTTCAGTCCACAAGGCCTTTGTTGCTTTTCGATCCCGCACAAATTGTTCAACAATCCTTTATCCTTTAACAACACCTGTTGCTCTTTATCAAGCTAGTTTCATCCATTCATGGTTCTTTCTTCTGTGAAAAACCAATTAGTCTAATGAATTTTGGATATATATAGGGAAAATGCTATCTATAAGAATAACTTTGGATTGAAGGCCAATCTTTAATAGGCTTTCAACTTCAATTAGGTTGATCAAATTCATTTGTTGAATATTACTGTGAGACGTCCACTGCTCTTTGGTTTGGGGATAGGCTGAACAGCCTTTTAGAATGAACATGATATCATTTGGAAGGTGGTTTTATCTTTTTGGAAACCAGAAATTACCAGTCAAAGGAAGTTTCTTTTCCGACCATCCAATGAGATCTAATAATTTTTCATGAAAGCGCTCCATGCCTGGGAGCAAGAATATTATATATATATATGTGTGTGTGTGTGTGTTTTTTTCCCAGCTTGAAACTAAAAGGAAGAATGTTTGACACACAGATACTATACGGATCCATCTGGCACGTTCTGGCAATGTAATGCTAAAGCTATTGGTTCTGGCTCTGAAGGTGCTGACAGCTCGTTGCAGGAGCAATATAACAAGGTATGATATAGCATTTATTGTCTAAAAAATTGCACTCATTTTGGAGCTTGAAATTGGGAACTTGCGCAGGTGTTGATTGTTAGATTTGTAATAGTTTGCTTGGTAGCCATGAATAACTTCAGTTTTTCTATCCTTGCCACAATGGAAATTTTCTTTCAGTTATTGTTCCTTGCCTTAAACCCAGGACTAAAATGTTTTCCAAAGTATTGCTCTCTACATTTAGAAGTTGATGATTGTGATTTCCATTTGCTTTTTCGCTTGCAGGAGTTAACCCTTGAAGAAGCTGAAAAAATAGCTCTTTCCATTCTGAAGCAAGTTATGGAAGAAAAGGTAAGCTTCTCCATATTGCAATCTTCATCGTGTCAGCGGGCTCTACCTACTTTTTAATTGTGGTTTTACTAAAACATACCCGTAAATGAAATTGTTATTTGATCTCAGGTGACCCCAAATAACGTTGACATTGCAAAGGTCGCTCCGAGTTACCATCTGTACACCCCTTCTGAGGTTGAGGCTGTCATCAGTCGCCTATGAAAAGAGAACACCGTGAACAATTTCTATTCGACATCTGCTTTCCCATTTGTGCTAGTCATGCATGCACTTTGTATTAATTTGCTGGGTTATATTCTGCTTATTTCCTAGTATGGGATTTTACCAGAGAAACGTTTTTGATGCGTTTAATGGATATAATTACAATCTTATTCTCAAGTCAATGAACATGAAACTGTGTTGGAACATGATGCTAGATTGTGGCAAGTTCTCTTTTCGATTTTTTCTTATTCTATTTGTTGTTCTCAGAAAATCCTAAACCATCCGGGAGTCCAACTAAGGTGGTGGCTTTCATGGTATGTCTCTTGTTTACTACGGACCACAAGGCCCTTGGCAAGTCCTTAGTATGGAAGGACTTGAGCACTTCATCTCCCAAATATTTGAGGCCGAAACCTCTTTTGGAACAAGAAAATGAGAATTTTGGTCTTGGCAATGACAAATGATTCTCTATGGTGAAGATTATCGGAATTGTGACACACTTTTTGTGTCTTAATGAAGGGATATGTAATATCTGGACTTCAAAAAGTGGGAATGCGTCCTATAGACCAGTTAAATAGTCACTTAGAAAAATGGATAAGTTCCATATTGAAAATATATAACTTATGAAAATATTACTTCCTATGCCATTCTTCGGTTTATGAAAATATTACTTTCTAGGTCTCAAAATAAATGACGATCGTTAAAAGTTTAATCTTTTTTAAAGAGAATCATCATTTAATGCAATTACTTTGGGCAACAAATATTTTGGAACAATTCAAAATAAAAAGATGAATAAGAATTATGGAAGCTTTCCAATAGTCACCATCTAAGAAGTACGGTAACTTCTAGCTGTACTAGTGTCGGATACGGACATGTGTCCGACACTTCATATATATGTCCATAAATAAAAATTAATTTCATTATTTCGGATACTTCACCAACACTTTCTGAACACTTCGCCGACACTTCTATGACATTTCTAACACAAATCTACACAGTAATCTTGAAAATAATATGGACATTTCTAACACAAATCTACCTAGTAATATTGAAAATAATATGAATACTATCGTGACAAAGTAGTGAAATAATGGTATATATGATATAAAAATTATTACAACAATGACATAATTTTATTTTCTAATTCATTTTAGAGCAATTCTTAGTATAGAAATTATAAATGAATTAAAGTTTTATAATACTATTACTAAATAGATGTATAATAATAAAAATTAAAATTATTATGTAATCGTGTCCACGCCGTACCCGTGTCCTACTTTTTTAAAATTTGACGTGTCCGCAGTTTCACAGTCTGAATTAGTTCATACTTACACATGCATGGCTTAATCTTTGAGACAAGCATATGACTACTGGCAGGATCAATCGGGTAGCATTCCGAAAGGCATGTGTCGTTGGCCAAGCCCCGCGGCGGACTTGCCGCGCGGGCCGCCTTGAAGTACAATTTCTATGGAGCGGCGGGTAGAATCCTTTGCAGACGACTTAAACATATCCGTGTCCTGTCTGTATCTTGTGTCCGCGTTACATAGGTAACCGTATGGAGTACTTATAAGTGGAGTGCAGAGGGTTATTTTAAATATATATATATATATAATAATTGAAAAAGTATGTTTTGTGAATAGAAAATACGAGTACATTACAAATTTACATCTCTTATACGATTTATCCATTATAGACAAATGAATTACACAAAGTTGTCGCATATTCTTCTATCATACACAAATTATTCACGAACTTTCTACCAGTATCCCTCACAATTGTTTGGAAACTTTCAGCATATTGCCAATATTTTCCTTTTTATCTTGAGTTTCGAATTGGTAGCTGCAGTTAACATAAAGTTATGCATGGCCTGTTTGCTAAACAATACTTAGGCTCAGAGAATGAAATGGTGAAGGTGAAAATCATAGAAAGACAATGGGAACCCAGCCTTTGCTTCTATAAATAACTCCTGCAGATAACTCGCAGTATAACTAGAATATTATTGTTCTCCCCAAAAATGTTGGAAAAGGAAAAATACAAGATAACCATGAACACGAACATAATGGTTACTATTTTATTTAGAACTCTTCGGAGGCAGGGTCTGAATTTGTGAAAAAAAAAAATATCTTTCAGTTTCAGTCACGGAACTCGTCCATGAATCCTTTGTGAAATTCTGTCAAACGAGAGACCACTGCCGGAATCTTGTCCTCCTGAGGCAGAATTGTGCACCGAAAATGCCAAGTTCCAGGGACCTTCCAAGAAAATAACAGCACAAAATCATCAGTCTAACCCAGAAATATGAGGAAATAGGCAAATCAGTTTGCACCATACACCATCCCACACCGTATGAGCTTATACAGTTTCATAAAGTTTTCAAGAAATTTTTAATTTGAAAATCAATTTAGTCACCACAGGACTGCACGCCTAGTGATATACTTCCTTACCTTCCAAAGCATAGGGTCAAGGGTTCAACTCTCCATAGGGACAAAGTAGGGTGTTCGAGTTTCGAGTTTTGAGAGAGAGAGGAGGGGGAGAGGGGGGGTGTTGAAATCAATTCAGTTGGATAATAATATCTGACCACCCTTCCCTTTTCTCAAAACAAATCTTGCATTTTGCTCCACCCTTTCAAAAGAGGGATATGTTGATTTTTAAGACCAATTGATTTTGTTGACATTTGAATAGAAATTTTTTTTCCCAAGTTGGAATTTGCAGCTATTTGCAACTGTACAAAATTGACATGCCGAAGGAATTGTGGAATTCAGTGACTTATACGATCTATAATTCTCACCTGACGGAATCCAGATCCTGGAACAACAACAATTCCAGTGGCATCAAGGAGGCGGCGAGCATAGAATGCATCTGGGACCGTTTTTGCTGCTTCTGCTGCTTTTATTGCTTTCTGGGGCAAGTGAAGACGCGGAAAGAGATACATTGCTCCTTCAGCTCTGTTGCAAGTCACACCCTCTAAACTATTGAGTGCATCTTCTAGCGTCTGTGTTAATGGAAAAATAGTAAATATATATATAAGAAAACATATAATGCAAACTTAATTGTACTGTTTTTAACAAAGGTCAATGTCAAGGTAGCTTATTGTCATATCATCAACATAGGAGAATGCAGGTTTATTATAATGGAATACCACAAATTATTGCAAGTTTAATAATACTTAGAAAATAAATCCGCATCCAAAATGAATTACAAACTCAAATAGATGCTATGGTTGCTAAAAGCTCAAAAGGTAAGCATCAATTAGAATTTAGAATCCAATACAATATTCAGTAAGCATCAATTAGTATTTAGAATCCAATGCAATATCCAGTCTCACTCAAACCATTTTTCTTTTTTTGAATTTTTTTTCTTAATAATTAAATAACTTATCAGTTTCCCTTCATTAAATGAAATTTGTTTGTTTTAACTAACCTTTGCACGCCTTGCTAGTGATGAGAGTATTCCATCTCTCTCTGCAGAATAGGACTCATAGGATTCATCACCAACCTGCATGCATCCACATATTTCATCCATTTCAGTAATTGCTATAATGTAGATGGAATTTTGGTTTGAAATGACCGGTTAATGTCATAGTTGAAGATTATAGCTATGCAGTTAATAAAATTTAGAGCAACTTAATTATGTAAATCAAAGTCATGAAACAACAACTCAAGAAGTTGATTGAGATACAAAATATGCCCAGGTAGTGGTCAATCAAACTTGGAAAGCAATTCTAATTCAAGAAATTGAGATTCTCAATAAAAATGGTGATGAGAGGGGCTCCAGCTCACTGAAATTTCAAAGCTAGCTTGGTCTTCAATCAGAAATCTTATCTCTGACTTTACCTTATCAAATCCATTTCCAACTGGGTATCAACATAACCTCCTTGACCAAAAATGAGGGAAAATGAAAGGAACACTAATTCGAAGAAAGAAATATCTTACCTTCGGAGGATTCATGACAAGGCTGGCAAGAATTTGACCAGAGATATTAGAACAAAGATTTACAGATGCTACTTTGTAGATTTGTTCCCTTACTTCAGCACTAAAACCAGTAACCTCCATATATCCTCCCCTTTTTCCACACTCCCCGTAATACCCTGAAGCCAGCAAAGCAACACGGCTTGTGAACTCTCAATTCAACAATTTCCACAATTCATTTCTTGATAAATTTTATTGACAAGACCAACATACCTTTAGAGACTGACTGAAAAGACACCAGGGAGATATCCTTCTCACCATACCCCATAGATCGGGAGATTTTCTTAAATGAGTGAAACTTCTTGTCAGGAACATAAATATTTTCCTGATATACCTGTACGAGTACAAAAAATATTGTTGAAGGCCATTATATTATAGTAGCTGTGTGAGCACATTCAGAGGCACAAATCTGAGGTAAATCTTGTCCATGAATGGTGAAGTCACAACCCGCCAAACCTGACTTCAGTTAAAGTAACCTAGTCTATATTAAATAATCTCCAGACATAGAGAGGCCTACAGAACTGAGGTCCCTGGATATCTACTCACCTCATCTGCCAGAAGAACAAGACCCTCTTTCTTGCAAAATTCCACAATTTCCCGCTGGTTGCTCTCAGCAAGGACCTGCAGGCATAGGTTACCAATACAATCAAATCATAAAACAAGGTCATTATTCATAACCAGACAACTGGTTTTCACCAAAGCTGCCTCCTATGAATGAGTGAAATGCAAGATATTCAACCTTTAGTTAACCTTCTGAAAATTTTGATCACCAGTACCTGCCCTGTTGGGTTTCCTGGATTTATTACAACCAAGACCCTGGCAGTAATGCCCTTAGACTTGGCAGCTTCTAATTGCTGCTTAAGCTCCGAAATCTCTAACCCCCACCCTGTTGCCTCATCAAGGTAGTAAGGAACCTGCAAAACCAGTTTGAAATTCCACGTCAGATATTCGTATTATTAAAAAAAATCCCATTAGATGATAAAATCAAACCTTTAATCTCGAAGATCAGTATGGTTAGGTTAATGACACTGCAAAATTTCACATTAAGCCAGTCCCAAGTTCAATTTAAGTTTGGCTTACAGATGGCCAAAATTTTGCACTTGGGTAGAGCTGACAATTTGAATCTCCATTTCTGACTATTGCTCCTATATTACGGTCACTTACAAGAGTGCCACCATGGAGGGCAATCGAAGCGGAATACAGAGGGTACTGAGGAATGGGACAAAGAATTCCATCCATCTCTGATCTTATCAGCAATTGCATCATCATGTGGACCTGGTAAAAAAGAAAAAAAGAAAAAAAAAATGTTATCTATGCTTGAAATTGAAATACAATTACTCGCTGAAAAATTTAGATAAACATGATAAGAATTCGGGTTTTAAATCAAAATTTACCGCAGGACTTGCACCATCTGTCAAGAAAATATCATTTGGATCAGCAGGAAAACCATCACGGGCTTCAATACCAGCAGCAATTGTATCACGTAATCCCTTGATACCCTGATTGGAAAGAATCAAACTCATACGATGTATCCACACAACGATAAATTGACTTAAATCTTTCAAATACTGCTGAAGAGGACATCCTTACCTGACTGTGACTGTATGCACCAGTTGCCCTTCCAGGAATTTGATCTAGGATCTTCCAAGCTCGTTCTATGGCATCCGCACTATGAAAAGTCATGAGCTACTGATTATTAACAACTTTCTTTCTAATTTTTTTTTTTGTTGGGGGGGGGGGGGGGGGGGGGGGGGGGGGGGGGGTGGGGTGGGGTGGTATTTGTTCGCTGGGGCTGAGAATGGAAGGGGTGGTCAATAGTAGGAATCTAGACCTACCTCAATGGGGATGCCCAATTGGCAGTTTTTTTTAAACACATAATATTACAATTTTTTTCCCTTGAACAAGTAATATTATATTAATTGCAAGGAAAAGAACTTCTTTCTATAAGTAAAATAATGAACTTACTTTAAATCTTCCCTCTTCCTTCCTCTTCCATACCCTTTACCCTCTCTAATTTCAATTCAAGTCATTATTTTCTACCTTCTATGCGCAAGGTGTTGAGTTCTTGCAACCCACTAGTGAGTGGGTTGCAAGAACTCCATTGTACTGTTGGAATTTAACAGTAGGACGTTCCACGGTAGTTGTTTTTCTTTTTTTAATTTTGGTATTTGTCTTCGTTACTCGCATATATTCAAGGACAACCAAGGAGTTGAGCACAGAAGATGCAAAAAAGATGATGACTTGGAGTAGTTGATAGCCATCTTTATGTTAGCCACCATCTTATACTGCAATTATCCAAAATGTATAACACCTAAAAATGGCAATTGATGATAATTTTGTGGATCAAAGAATTGCTGAGAAATAAATACCAACTATTTCATTTCTGGGTAAGACACCTTGCCTTTATCCCGTGTGGATGGGATCAGCCATTTGAATTCTTTTTTTGCATTCTTACATATTATACACCATGTCTCCTCTTATGTTTAAATGTTTAATTTCTTAAAATCTTTTTTAATTACTTCATCCGATATAAGTTTTGGTCGGCCTTTTTGTTGCTTCCCTTCTAGGCAAACAAATCTTCCTCTTCTAACCAATGGATCTTTGGTCTATGTTGTATATGAGTATACCACCCAAGTCTACTTTCTCTAATTTTATTATTAGTAGTGCTATTAATAGCCTAGTATGACAATCGATTTTTTGGAGAAATTAGCACTTAACAATATAGCATACATTTAATAGCTCAGAAAGCTTATAACTAGCCATAAGCTGACCATACCTGAACAAACCCTGAGTTTCAATTCTGTCCAAAATGGCCGGATGGTCACATAGTGCAAGAACCTAATATAAGTGTGACCATAATTAGAAAGTGCTTGAACTGAGAAACCTATATTACATTCTAGAATAAATTTATAGCACAAGAACCTCTCGGAAAAAAGTGATAGGCAGCTGAGCAAGAGACTGAGGATTTCCAATATTGCAATAAAGTATCTGCAAATGGAAAGGGGAAAATGAGTATAGAAGCAGTATATCTGACAGAGAAAATTGTATTACCAAGACCAACATTAATGTATAAAATAATGGCGAACAGTAAGACATAACCAAAAAGGAAGATAAGCTGTGAGCCTGTGACTGTGGAAGAAAGGAGCAAAAAAGTTCTTCTCTAGTAAAAAGAATTTGTTGTATATATTTTCAAAGTATAAACATTGCTTAAGAAAGTGAGGAACAATATTCAGCCAACAGATCAACCTCCTAGTTCAGGTATTGTGTTCATTCTTCAAAAATTCAGATATCTTCATCAATCAATCAAGAAATAAGAGGTTATTAAACATGGTTTACAAGGTTTAATGTGAAGGAATTGTTAGTTAACCACATCCTAAACCTAAAAGTGCCCAAAAAAGTACCAAACTGCCTGCATCCAAGTATGCATTTAAAGCTAAAATTGAAAAAACAAAAACAAAGAGAAACAAGAGTACCTCATCAAAGGGATGAGAACCTGGCTTTGCTTGTAATTCTTCCTGCAATCTCTGTGACATCACATCACATAGAGTACCCCAATAAGCTGAATATATTGTAGAAATTACATGATAAGATGCAGCATATCCAAATAGTTACTAGGTCCACCCAAAAGCCATTTTACAAGTTCAAACACCCTCAAATTAATTTATCTAGGGGCAGCCTTTGTTGTGAGTGTATGTCCTTGAATATGCAGAGTCCATGAATCATGAAAATTAGTTGTACAGATTCTAGTTATCACATTTTAGCTATCTTACCTGCGCCACGGTGACAATCTCACCACGAACAGCATACTCACACTTCAAGACCTGGAATAAAAGGAAAATTTGGTGATGAAGATGTACAGAATCACTATAAATTCAGTAAGCAGAACTTGTTAGAGAAATCAGGACCAAACCGGATAATTAAGTCATTGTTCAACAAGCTTCATTAGATTAAACAGAGACCTTTGTTAGAAAATGCTTAGACTCGATCACAAGTATCGAGAATTGGTAAAGAAATTCAAATTTTTCTATAGCACTCAAAGGAGGTCGCTTCATAGCCATAACATGTCATTCCGGTAGCAAGCTTGGAATCACTTTCTCAATTCTAAGTTTGCTCAATATGCAGCCCACCAACTATACCTATCATGGCTTTTAGGACATCAGTTAGTGGGGAACTGTTCTCTCTATAATCTCTCTCTTGGTGTATAAATCATATTTTCTTCTCCTGTTAATAGGAAACCATACCTTTATTGCATCAACATCATCATCAGTTATCGCATCAACATGCTCGATTCAAATCGAAATTTAACTGTCACATCTGTCACATCTTCCAAGTTACTTGAGAAAAAGGCATTTTTAGGCCCGAAGCTAGAGGGTTCGGGCATCGATATACTTCCACTAAGCTCAATAAATATTCTATGATGACTGAAGCCATCTGATATATATATATATATATATATATATATATATATATATATATATTTTAAGGTTGAAGCAAATATAAATCTAGAGGTCTTGATTGGTTTACGAAGATAAAGGTGGAGATTATACCAGACTTCAAAATTATAGGGAAAAAAAAAAAGAGTGAAGAATCTACATGCCAAAACATAAACATAGCAGAGAACATAAGCAGAACGTAAACGGTACAAAACAAAAGAAGTGAATAAAAAAGAGAAAAAATAATATAAAAGAAGAAATATCCAACTACAGATGGATACGATTTGGCATATCTAATAAAAAAAGGGAACTTAAAACTCAATCTTTGTTGGACACAAACGAATTTGCAAATCCAGATATGGAAACTCATGATCAACAAAGTTCATGTAAATTTACATATATAGCACTATATAGGTGCATTTATCTATGCCAATGCTATAAACATCAATTAAGGAGTCAATTATATATATATATATTAGGTAAAAAGAGCATATCAATGAAACCCAACAAGAGGATTTAAAAAAAAAAAAAACCCACTAAGCAGAAAGCTCAGAAGCAGAAGTTGGGGAAAACCCAATTACCCATAGCTGGCGTGCACAATCAATAAAACAGTAAATCAAAATGTGAGTATATATATATATATATATTTGTATGTAGTGTAGATTTGATACCTTGGGGTTGATGTTTTGAAGAGTGACCGAAGGGGGTGAATTAGTAGAAGCCATTGAATCAGGAGAAGAGGGAGTAGATGTGAAGAAACGAGTAGCAGATTGAGATAAAGCTGATGAAGAAGAAGACGACGACGAAAGTCTGAGCGTTTCTGTTGAATTGGTCTGCAGCAAGGAAGTGGTGGTGATGAGATTTTTGGCTTTGTCTGCTACAAATTTCCGCATCGTCGTTTGTACTTATTTTGCAGCAATTTAAGGATCAGATTCGTCTCAGTTTCTTCAACGCGCCCACAGAATGAGAATACGCAGTCCCTGTTTTCCTTTTTTTACCCTTTCCGTCCCTTTCTTTCCTTTTCACTCTTTTTTGTACTTTTATTTCCTTTTAGGTGTTTGGAAGATGGAAAAGACCTCAAATAATTATGCTGTTTTTTTTTTTGTCCGCCCAAAATAATAGTCTACGTCTCGTGTACAAATAATATATTTCATGTCTTTTTATATATATATATATATATATTATTTAAGTTTAAAATTTTTAAATTAGTAATTTTTACGGGAGTGATGATACATGTCCTACATATTTTCTTAAAAATTACTATTCATAAATCACACTTAATTTAGGACTGGAGGAGTATTAAATAGGAATGATAAATTAATTACGAAATTAATGACAAAAAAAGAAAGAAAAAATTTATAAATAAATTTTGAGTGACAAATTTTAAGATAAATTTTCGAGTAACACAACTATTCTTAATTCTAGTACTCCACCAGGGTAATTTAGTTACTTTATTGCTACTAAATAAAATAAATGTTTTGTGAATACATTTTAAGAGTAATTATTTGTGTAAAATAGTGTGAATGGAGAACTCTTTCCCTACTAAATGGCAATTAATAACTTTTAATGAAAATAATATAAATATAAATATTTTAGTAAATTTTTTAAAGATATTTAATCACAACATAATAATTTTTTAATTCATTTCTCCGCACTTGATGTTACTTTTCTTTTGATAAATTCTTACATAATTTTAAAATTATTAATCCTACCATTCACAAAAACGATACAGAAACAAAAAAAAAAAAAATACTTTACAGCGACATAAAAGTGACACATAACTTTCTGTGTCACTTTAAGATTGACCCAACTATATAATAATTTTTTTTTTTTTTTTTTCTTATCATTCTCACATTACTCCAAAAGAAAGGATAACCGTGTGCTTTTCTTTTCTCTCCGCATTTCTTCCTTATCTCTTTCCCCAAACAGTTTTCTTTTCTTTTCTTTTCCTTCTTTCCTTCAGGCGTGGGCCTTATTATTTCTAGGTCAAAGTGAGCCAACTCATAATTTATGAGGTTGGCATGACCTACGGATTGAAAGGCTTGAGCTCAATCAAAGGTGTCTCTCTCAGAAATTTTGATGAGCATCTCAAGGACTTTTGGGCTAGGATAGAGATTGTTTATCCTCTTTATTGACTAATCTAGAGAGAGTTTTTAATTTCATTTTTCTATTTTCTTGATGTAATACCGCCCATACAGGGTTGGTTGTTGTTATCCGAGTGGGCCAAATTCGGGTAGAACTAATTTTCCATATAGAGGAAAAACTTTACAATCTGACATTAAGTATGAGTTGTCTGATCATAATTAGTGATGAATAAGAGATGACGCATTACAAATTAATAATTGATACATTAATAAAGACTTTGAATTAATAGGATAAGAACATACCTCTTTTTAAAACATTTAAATTAATAATAGATACATTAAATGATTTTAAGACCTATGAGTTGGACAGAATTTTAAATAAATATATATATATGTGTATTGATTTACTACTCTCTCTCTCTCTCTCTTTATATATATATATATATTGATTTAGGGTAGTAAGTCTAAATTTATCAACCAAGAAGAAGAGGATATAAAAAATTTAGGGTAAAGTACACTAACACTCTTTGAGGTTTGCCAAAAGGACATTCAGATGAAACTTAGCTTATTTTGAGACAAAGACACCCCTTCAAGTTTCATACAGATACCAAAGACACCCCAATGGTAATGAATTGACATTTTTGCTTTTTGACCTTTATATTGACCAATTTGAAGGTTGAAATTACATTTCTAACCTTTACTCACAAACCAATCCTTCTTCTTCCTTCTCCCATTTTTGTCTTAAAACACATGATTTTTTAAAAGTAATATAATAATTTTTGCAGCTTTATATATATATCAAAGTCCTTTCCACAGCCCGTCGCCCACCGTTGCCGTCGCTCCATCTCAGCCACTCTTTGAGGTTTGCCAAAAGGACATTCAGATGAAACTTAGCTTATTTTGAGACAAAGACACCCCTTCAAGTTTCATACAGATACCAAAGACACCCCAATGGTAATGAATTGACATTTTTGCTTTTTGACCTTTATATTGACCAATTTGAAGGTTGAAATTACATTTCTAACCTTTACTCACAAACCAATCCTTCTTCTTCCTTCTCCCATTTTTGTCTTAAAACACATGATTTTTTAAAAGTAATATAATAATTTTTGCAGCTTTATATATATATCAAAGTCCTTTCCACAGCCCGTCGCCCACCGTTGCCGTCGCTCCATCTCAGCCGCCCTCGCTGTTTCGAGCAAAGCCACAACCTCGCCGCAGCGAGTCATTCACGGCCGAGTCAGCCGACTTCTCCACAGCCGTATCGAGCCCATCACTGTCCCGTCGTTCAGTCCCGCCGGCCGCCATCATCCGAAGCCGCAAGCTCACAGTCGAACCTGTCCACCGCCGCAGCTCATCGCTGCTGCCGCCACTTCACCGCCGGGCATAACCATTATAAGTACTGCTGATTCAATTCCAAGCTTGCCGGCTGTTCCTCTCACCGTCCAACCTCTCCACAGCCGACCTCTCCATCGCCTGTCAGACCATCACGACTGAGCCCTCCACCGGCCGATCTTGCCGCTGCCATCACGCTGCGAACCACCCTATCGCGGCTGAGTTCACACCACCGTCCGAAGCCTCCTTGCTCGCCGGCCCATGCCGCCATCTCTATAACGGAACCATCCACGGTCGAACTATTCATCGCCGTTCCTCACCGACCTAATCCTTGCGTCGCCCGTGAACTCTTTGCTCTCTGGTTGTGGATCGAGACAGTACTTGGTAATGGGATATTGCAACAAATTTATGTATATTACACACACACACACACACACACACACACACGTAATAATTTTTGCTGCCGCTGAGTAGAGCATCTCTACCGTGGGTGGGTTCATCACCGCCAAACAGATCACTTCCACGGCTTCACCATGGGTGGGATCATCGCCACCTAGTAGAGCCTTGCCGGACAATTTCACGGTTGCGAGTATATATATATATTTGCTATATCGGTGTATAGAGAGAGAAAGAGAAGGGCAATTAGGTCATTTAATTATTTTTGATATTTTACTATTAAAATTAATCAAATAATGTAGGGCAAATTAGACTTTTCACACATTTTTAGGCTCTGTTTGGCTGTCAAATATAACAAGGGGGTGTCTTTGTCCCAAAACAAGCTAAGTTTCATATGTGTGTCCTTTTAGTAAATCTGAGGGAGTGTTAGTATACTTTACCCAAAAATTTTAAATGCTCTGTGCACGCATGAGAGTCCACTTATAAGTTTCATTTCAACTTTATTTTACTTGGGTACTCTTTATCACCCAAAAGATTAATGGTGATACACATAGGTTAAAATTGATTTAGATTTTACATAAAATGAAAACTAATCTTATCTCAAAGGATTCATAACATATAAAATCAAATCGTTTCGATAAGAGTCCTAAATTAATTTGTGGAATATCAGAACGTATCAAATTAATTTTATGAATTAAATTTTCATAAACAGCCTAATAGTTTAAAATTTTCTTTCATCCAAATGTGTAATTAAGTTTAAAATCCAAACATGTCCTAGATGATGTTACATAATGGTCGATAAAAAATGGTGTCATAGTATGCTTTTTGGTTGCTCAAATTGTTACTTTTCACTTCTTAATCATATGACATTTTGCTTTCCAGCATGTTGATAGTTTTGTTAATGGAATTTCAACGACATTAGACCTTTCAACTAAAAAAAATCAATAATAGCATGAACATTAAATTTGTAACGGCCGAATTTTTATAACTCGGAACGTTAACGAGTAATCCGAAAATTCGACTCGATAATGAGTTCTCAATGCGAAAGTGAAGAATAACGAACGATAATTATTCCAATAATGAATAAACAAATAGGTGAAATGATCAAATCGATAAATGAGACATCATACAAGGTCTCAAATACATAAGCATCTATACAATGCATCCCTAAGTACTATAGGTCAAGAGAGAAGTGTCAAAATTGAATTGGGAAACAAATGGTAGAAGAAGAAGGAAGAAGCAGGAATCAGTCGACGTGTGAGGTCCACACGTCGACTGGTTAAGCCAACTCGGTCGACGTGTAGGTATCTCACGTTGACCAAAACCTAGTCTCTCCCTTAAAAAAGTGTATTACCCAAAAAAAAAAAAAAAAAAGATATACCGGTTGATGTAAAGTGTCCATGTGTCGACTCGTTCTTTACTGTCAGCAGGTCCAAAGTGTTGAAAACTGTAGAAATGGATCCCGGTCACTCCCATGTATATCCAATGTTAAAATATGATGGAAAAGTGTCCCTTTAACATGTCTAAATATGGCAAGGACATCCGTGAACCCAGAGTGTGTGAAACATATATTATGTGTGCATTTGAAATAAAATTTATACATTTAAAATAAAATAGCTCTAGGATCTCAATTTAGATTTCTTTAAGAACCAAATGTAGTCATACATTGTAAATGAAATTATCTTAACTCAAATATACATAACTTATGTTACATTATCCAAGAATAGTCACCTTATACAATGGAAACTAAGGTACATAATTTCCCAAATACACCATTTAAATCCATATATCGATTATACTATTAAGACATAAAAATGAAATTACATCTTCAAGAGCTTGTTTCAACCTAAAGGGGAATCAACGAGGGGGTGAACTCACATGGCTCAGTAGGTCAATGCTAGGTACATACACATGCTACATTTCTGTGGTTCTATAAGTTAAGTCCTTGTAAATAATGCAAGGGACATGCTCCCTAACATCTAATTTTTGGGAAAGTCCTAAAGGTATCATCCTAAGCTAGCATTAACAATTAAGCATGAAATCTACAAAATGGCACTTTAAATGAAACATGCAAGAACACATTTTTAGTAACCAAAACCTAGTAAATGGGATACGAATATATCAAATAGTTATCACACATGAATGCCAACTTATAATCAAA